TCCCGGTATCAGATCGACGGGCTTGGCGTCGGCGAGCCGCATGCGCGCGCCACCGCCGGGGACCCTGCGAGATGAGGCACTTGAATGGCCACGCCGGCCGCGCCGGCCGCGCCGCCTGAACCATGACCTCCGCTATCTCCCACCGCGTCTCCCCGCGATGCATTTTTACCACACCCTCCGCTCATGACTAAAGCGTAATGCAACGCAACCTCCACGAGGCCTTCGAGCCTCGAACGCCTGAGCGACTCTGCAGCTCAAAACGCGTCTGGAGTTCTGGCCGCCTCCGCCGGTCTTCTGGCCCACTGTGCGGCGACGGCGCTCGCGGACGGTCCCCGGACGGCATTGCGATGTCGCAACGCGGCGCGCGACCGGCCCTGCGATCTGCACTCAATACGCGTCTGGAGTTCTGGCCGCTCTCCTGCCGGCATTCTGGCCCACGTGCGAGAGACGCGCTCGCGGACGGTCCCCGGACGGCATTGCGATGTCGCAACGCGGCGCGCGACCGGCCGCGCGGATCGCTCTATCGCTCTGTCTCTCTCGCTCCCTGCGGGACGCCCCACGAGAGCGAGAGAGACAGAGCGACGCAGCCGGGCGCACGCATTTCCCGGCGGCACGCGGCCCGGCCCGGCCCCTTCATGCTAATGCCCAGTGACAACATTCCCACATTCCACGTTTCTTTTCCTCTACATATCGCCGACATTTGCATACTATGGCGATATTTTTTCGGCGCGCGGCGATGCTTTTTCTGCGCTGCGATCGGCGCGTCGAACCAACCCCACGGCACGGCACTGCGACGGGCCACGGCCGTGACACGCACGCTGTGTGTTTCCTCGTGGTTTCTTCACCTGTTCACCTCCGACTTCCCCGAGGTGCTTCTTCCTGCCGGCTCGCCATCTCGCTGTCCGCCCGTCTGTCTGACTGCATTTTAATCGCGAATCGCTTAATCCAGGGGAGAGTGCCTAAATAGCTCAGTTCCTGGCCCGCCGCAACGGGTAGGGCCTTACCTGCGAAGACACGTCATCCTCTTCCACCTCCACAGGAAAAAAAAACTGAAAAAAAAGACAGAGACGCACCCAAACACCGACAAGCCCTTGGCAAAAAGGCTCCCACTGCCATCGGCCCCACGACCATTAGAAGCCAATTCTTCTCCTCGCGTTTCGGCCCCAAATCCCCCCGGAAGCAACACGCCCGCCCGCACATCCGGCCGAGGGGGCGCTCTGTCTCTCTCGCACCCCTGCGGCTCGCCGGCACGCCCCGTGAGTGCGAGAGAGATGGAGAGGGCCGTCGGGGTCGCGTCACCGCATTATCAGGTGCCGTCCTCTAATCCGGCCGGCAGAAGCCTGGGGGATTACGGTGGAGGGGAAGGGGGGGGGGGCACTGACCACCCACTCTGAGGCCGAGCCAGCCTCCAGTCCACTGACTCCAGCTCCAGCGACGCGCCCCGCCCCGCCCCGCCCCGGCAGCAACAAGAAGGGCGTTCCAGCGACCGAGGGGCGTTCCCAGGGGCGTTCCCGGCTGGTCGTCGCGGCACCGCAGCCGCTCAGCTGTTTACGACGTGGGTTGCCCTCATAATGTAATCCCCGTGGAATCCAGGCGGTGCAGCACTGCAGTGTAGTGGCCAAGCTTCGCGCCGACTCGTCCAGCCGCCTGATTGCGAGCACTGTCTGTCTCTCTCGAACCCCTCCGGGACTCCCCATGAGTGCGACAGAGCCCAACACTTTCCGCGCAGTGCGCGGTATTCGAACCCGCGACCGCGCCTCTCCAAAGCGGGATATCTGCGCCACTCCGCGGCACTGTATGGTCCACGGTCCACCCACACGCGCTGCATCGCTGCATCACGATGCCGCAATTGTCCTCACCTCCAGTCATGTTCTCGCTCCATGCAAATGCGCGCCGGGCCGGCGGTTCCGAACAGCGCGCCGTCTCTCTGTCTCTCTCGCACTCGCGGGCCGGGCCCGCCGGGCCGCGAGTGCGAGAGAGACAGATATACGGCACGGTTCGGAACCGCCCTGCAGCGCCTCTATCCGGCCGGCAGATCGCAGCGCGCGGCGCGGCGCGGTGGTCGAGAGCGTGGTCGCGGACGCCGGGCGCGCCCTCGTCACAAACCGCGCCACAAACTGCGGAATGTAAGAGCAGGGTCACGGGTTCAAATCCCCACAAATTAAAACTCTCCAATTTTTTCAAAAATTTGAATTATTTTTTTTTCAAGCAGGCTTGCTGGAGTTCCAGGGAGGGCTCCGCGTCCCGTTGCGCCGTGCCCCGCTGGAGCGGCTGGAGCGAGACCAGCGAGCCGGCGAGCCTGGATTGACTGGACCGGGCTGCAAACCCACCGCCTGAATTCTGATTAGCCGGCCGTGTAAACAATAGGCTGGTCAGCGGCATGGAGGCCATGGAGGCGCCGCGCCGCGCGGGGCGGGGCGGGGCGGGGCGGGGCGGGCCGGTCGTTCGCCCTGGCAGCGTCTAATGAGACCAAAACTCGTGGAAAAATGATGAATTCGGCGCCGAACGGACGGCGGCGGCAAACGGAACCACCGGCACAGCGCTTCGTCGCTCTGTCTCTCTCGCACGCCAACGGGACGCCCCGCGAGTGCAAGAGAGACAGAGCGACGAAAGCACAGTGCAGTAGTGCTCGCAGTTGTGATATTGACAGTCCCTCCCTCTCTTTCTCTCTCGCTCCCCATAAATTCCAGAGCCGTCTTTCGCACACCCCGTTTCGCAGAAGTCACACCGGCCGGCGAAAAGGTGCTGCTGCTGTTGTTGCTGCTGCTGTTGTCAGCGCGTCCTTCTTGTTGTTGTTGCTGGCGTCAAAAGCCGAGGCGGGCCTACACTGTTAGATCGTCGGCCTAGTACCTGCTTTGCCTATCAAGTGGGCTCGTTAATGGGGCCGTCCAATAGACACGCTGCCCGACTGGTCGACGGTGATAAAGACGTTACGTCCTCGACCTCCCCCCCCCCCACTTTTTTACATAGACACCTTTTCAAATACCGTTTTACTTTTTATACCATAAATACTCCGGCGGCCGCGCGGCTACCCACGGGCGTCAAAATAAGAATGGCCGCACTGCCCGCCCCGCCCCGCCCCGCCCCGCCGAGGTGCATGCCACAGCATAGGGGCGGTGTCCTTGTCAATGCGCACGGCGAGTGTCTCAGCATCGGCCGGAATTAGGGGGATGAATAATGAGGGCGGGGCGGGGCGGGGCGGTCAAAGGCGGGGCTGCCCGCAGCGCAGAGCCCCCTGCCCATTTTACACGCCGCCAGCGGGGCCAGCGGGGCCAGCGGGGCACTGCTGCTGGACGCTGGACCGGAAACAGTCGGACGGATTTCCGCACGGACAGTTTCGCTCAACGGAGGCTGCAAATAAACAATGGGGACACACACAGCGGCCGAAAGAGACTGACTCCGTAGATACCCCCCGCCCCGGCATTCCATTTGTAAAGTGCGGGGTAGCGACGATCGCGGCGCGTACACTGTTTTTCCGGCACTTGCACCTCCCAACAGACCAAAGGCTGTCATCGAATTGGCGCCCTGGGTGCACTTGCAGGAACAAGACGGGCGAACTCTTCGCTCTGTCTCTCTCGCACCCGAGCGGGACGCGCCGCGAGTGCGAGAGAGACAGAGCGACGAATTAGCTCTGCCCGGAATGGGGGCCCGCCGCGCCGGTCCCGCGTCGATGAGAGCAAAATTATAGGAAAACGAATCCGCCTGCCTGAGCACGCTGCGGCGCTGCAGCGGGACTTCTCCACGAAAGGAAACGCTCTTTCAGGTGCACCGCCACTGCAAGGCCGGGGGGGGGGGGGGGGCCTCCAAGGCAGCGCAGGTAGGACGCCCTCGCCACCCCCTCCCTGACTCCCAGCGCACCACAATTGTCGCAAACACAGGGTGCACCCCGCCAGCCCCCTGCCACCCCTGTCCGCGTCCTCGCCGTCCTCACACCTGTACCGCCAAAGACCAAAGACCACCGGGGCCAGCACGGCCAGCAGCACACCGATTCAGAGAGTCCTTTTCACCGCTCTGTCTCTCTCGCGCCGACCCGCGACCCTTGCAGTGTGAGAGAGAGACGGGGGCGTCGGTCTGCGGGGGGACCGAGTCGTGGAACGGCCAGCTCGGCACGTCTGGCTGGGCTGGGCTGGCCGGACCCACGGGACCGACAGCGTCCGGAGGCCGGGGACGCTGGATTTGTTTTATTCCCGTTTCCTCCGAACCGCCAAGACTATGAAGGCACACTGTCGCCGCGCGGCCGGCCGGCCAACGCCGTGGTGGCGGAGGTGGGTGGCTGTGGGTCCCACGATCTGGCGGAGAGTTGAGTGACCGCGGCCGCGCCCCGCGAAACGCAAAACTACACCGCGGCAGAGACGCGGCAGTGACACCGGGCGACAAAGTGACACGCCGATAGAGACGAGGCAATCGCCAAAGCCTCTTATGCGGCACCGGCTGCCCGTGGCTGCCCGACCCGCTGGATTAGAAAGGAGACAAAGACACTGTAAGCCCCCGGCGCGGCGGCCGGCGGCGGCCAGCCCGGCTGGCAGACAGGAGCACTGGACTGGACGGGCAGTGCGATGCGGCGATGCGGCGTAGACGGATGCACGGTTATTTAATCCTCTGCGATCGGTACAGGAAGCGAGGGGCTCAGGTGCCGGCCGGGCGCCTGCCGGGCGATTCAGAAGATCGCTCTGTCTCTCTCGCACCCTAGCGGGGAGCCCCGTGAGTGCGAGAGAGACAGAGCGACGCAAGGACTCTTCTGAACCACCCGGCAGGCTGCGTGCCAAGTGGCGTTGGAAGGACTCATCCGGAACAGATTGGAATAGGACAGCCGACTGACTCTGAGTCGCTGTCTCTCTCGCACACGCCCGCGACGCACCGTGAGTGCGACGAAAACGACTCTCTGCATCAGCCCAGTCCAGACGGCCTAAGTACGGTGGAACCCCTAACTTGCAACTTGCCACTCGCTGTAAGCACCTTGGGCAGTGAGATGCCGGCCAGGTGGCCGACGTTGCACTTACATGATTGAATTAATCCAAAAAGCGCGAGGGCGGAGAGACGCAGCAGATCGCCGAGTCGAGGCATTTTGGCACACACACACAGACGCACTCAGAAACACAGCAGCGAAAAAGCTACTTCTATCGTACGGCAATGAGAACTTGATTCACTTCGCACCATGCGGCGCGTGGTGGCCGGCTACACTTGTCTTGAAATCGGCGAACACACACACACACACATACGACGCAAGGGCACTAACGCACAGACACACTCGCGACCGTTCACGCACGCGCGTGTTCGTCACGTGCTCGCGATGCGGCCGGCGCGGAGCGACAGCCGACAGGACCTCTCTCACCGGAGTCCCGACACACTACTAAACAACAACGACTCAACTCAGTCCGGCTCAACCACAGGACGCAGGCGGCAGCGGCAGCCACAGGACGCCTGGCCGGCGGGGCGGCGGGGCGCAGGGGTGGGGGTGGCTGGAGGGGTGGGGCGGGAACGCTCCAGGTGAAGCGGACCGAGCGGCGCTCGGCTGCCGTCGCCCGCTTCGCTTCGGCCGGCCGCTTGGCCGCTCGGGTGGAGGGGGTGGCTGGAGAGCGGCGCGCGGCTTCGTTCCGCCCCCCCCCCCCTCCCCTCCCCGCACCGAATCCGTGAATGAAACGAAGCGCCGCTGCCACCGCCACCGCCGCAGCAACGCGCGCCGTGAATGAACCCCCCCCCTCCCCCGCCGCTCCGATCCGCTCCGATCACGATGCCACCGGTGGCGCTTTCAGGATGCTGGCCTGCACCGCCTCCTCCGGGAAGCACCTGCTGCTGCACTGCTGCCCTTCTCGCAGCTGTTGGAGGCTGCCTCCGCCCGGTCAAAAATGCCTTTGAAAAATCGTGTTTTGGGCTGACTTTAAGCAGCCACTGCGTCTGATCCGAGGCGGCATTTTGTCCTCCCTCAACGGGCAATTGGTCTTTGGACCTTCCTTTAGCATGCCTTTGTTACGGAGTGCAATTATCAGTCTTAGTTTGGGAGCAGTATTGTCTCAAAGTTGGCCGAAACGCTCAGAAATGTCTATGAAAAATCGTGTTTTGGGCCGATCTTAAGCAGCCACTGCGTCTGATCCGAGGCGGGCATTTTGCTCCCTCAACGGGCAATTGGTCTTTGGACCTTCCTTTAGCATGCCTTTGTTACGGAGTGCGATTATCTGCCTTAGTTTGGGAGCAGTATTGCCGCAAAGTTGATCAAAACGGTCACAAATGTCTTTGAAAAAGCGTTGTGCCCGTTTTGATCAACTTTGCGGCAATACTGCTCCCAAACTAAGGCAGATAATCGCACTCCGTAACAAAGGCATGCTAAAGGAAGGTCCAAAGACCAATTGCCCGTTGAGGGAGGACGAAATACCGCCTCGGATCAGACGCAGTGGCTGCTTAAAGTCGGCCCAAAACACGATTTTTCAAAGACATTTGTGACCGTTTTGGTCAACTTTGCGGCAATACTGCTCCCAAACTAAGGCAGATAATCGCACTCCGTAACAAAGGCATGCTAAAGGAAGGTCCAAAGACCAATTGGCCGTTGAGAAAGTACGAAGGCCCGCCTTGGATCAGACGCAGTGGCCGTGCCAGTGGTGGTGCACTGCTTCGCTCGCCAACTGGGCGACACGCGTCCCGCCCACAATTAGGCCGAGGGGGGAGGGGGGGCGGCGCCTGGGCGACGACACCAAACTTGCAGTGTCGCAGCATGCGACGCAGGGGTGGATGCCGCTTGCCGCATCGATTGTCGCGATAGCGGCCCATAGAACCGGGCCAGCGGGTTGATTCCGAACGGTGCTCTGTCTCTCTCGCACCCCTACGCAACGCCCCATGAGTGCGAGAGAGACAGCGCGTCTCCTCGGAAGCAGCCCGCAGCCGTCACAACAAACTCGGGGAAACTGTCGCCAAGCCAAGCGGGCCGAGCGAGCCGGGCGCCGGGCGGGGACCGGGGGAGGGGAGGGGAGGGGTCGTCCCCGAGCGACGCTGGCGAGGGAGGCGTCCCGCGAGCGTCGGCGTGCGAGTTTCATTGGACATTGGGAATTCGTTCACGAACGACGCGGAAATACACAAATAAGCCCTCAGCGACAAGCAAAAGTCTCCCGGTTGCGCGGGAACGTGAAGTGACAACGCGGAGCACCATTTGGGTTACCGTTCCCATTGCTTTGTGAAACGAAGTCTTCAGTGGAATTCCCGAAACACCCATTGTCCGTGTGCGTGCCTTTTTCAACCCTTCGCCGCCGTGGGAGGGAGGCGGTGGAGGTGCGAGACGTGCCCCGACGCAGGTTGCGGACATCCGGTGGGCGCTCCGGTGCGAGGCCGAGCAGGCCGAGGGCTCGTTTTACCATCGTACAATGAGATTAGTGCGCGTCAAGGGGGCCTGGGTGCCCCAAGGTGCCCCAAGGTGCCCCGGGGGAGGAAGGGGCGGGGAGCGGTCACGTGAAAATCGTCAACCTGCCGGGCTGGGACTGCGGCATTGTAGGCATGCGGCATCGCGACGTTCTTGTCGCGGAGCGTGATCGGCGTCGCCTTTGCTCCCCTTTGAGCCTGTCTCTCTCGCACCGTTCTGAGCCGCGGCGGCCGCGACCGGTCACGCACGGGTTGGCTGGAAAATGAGTCAAACCGATCTCGCGCATTGTTTTGGCTCGTTTACTTCGAATGAAAATACATCAACAATTCAGTCAGTCTAACTATGATCTGCGAACTAAAACCACCTCCACCATCACCGCCACCATAAGAGAGAAGTCGGATGGGTTGCCTACGCGGACGCTCTCGGGCGCCTGGAATGGACAGGACTAGAGAGACTCTAGGTGGTGCTGCTCAACATCAGGTAATGAAATGCATATCACAGAGTATGAAATTGTCATTTGCCACATTTGACTGGTGCAGCTTACAAAGTGCGAGAAATAAAAATAAATGAGATTCACATTGAGCATATGAAAGTTTAGGATTATAGGAACAAAATTGATAGAAATCTGGTGAAGAATAGAATGAGAAAAGCCTCAACTATTTAAACAAGTGTCAACATTAAAAACAAAATCAACAATATTTAACACAAATTAAAAATGAGATCTAATAAATTACAACACTGAATTAGCCACAAAGTTCATTTCCGTATCCACCTAAGTCCACTTTAAGGACAGCTCAACCAATTCATTACTTTAACTAAACCCAAAATTGTAAAAATGTAGGAAGGCAACTTCTTAAAGTTTCGCTTTCACTTGAATCCAGTCCAAAATTAGAGGAGTGAAGTATGTTATGATGCAGTCCCCACCTGGAAATAATCAGTTTATTTAAAGATAAAATAATTGGCGTTCACACCAGAAAAAAAATTATGTAAAACAACTCACCAGCTCTACGCATTGAGAGAAGAACTTCTTCCAAAACAGTCCGTAAGTCAATAGCTCCTGCCTTAGCTGCATGCATTATCATTGCAAATTCTCCTGAAACCTGCAAAATACCGTTTGAACAGAAGTTGATACAGCAAACAAGATAAGACACCAGATACCTGGAGTCCTACCTGATAGATGAACAAAGGGTGTGCCGGGTGGGCATCTTTGGTTTGACGAACAATGTCCAGGTAGGCAAGACCTGGTTTCACCATCAACATATCTGCTCCTTCATTGACATCCCTCAACTGCCAATCAATGCAAAAAATTAGATCACAAAGACATTGTAGGAAAATATTTTCTAGATCAAAGATCTTACTGTAGCTCGAGCTGCCAAGCCTTTGCTGCCTGCTGGAAGCTGATAGCATTTGCGGTCCCCACTTGATGGAGCAGATTTGGCTGCGTCACGGAATGGCCCATAGAAGCCAGAAGCAAACTTGGCAGCATATGAGAGGACACTGACAGTGTTGGATAGGCCGGCACCTGCTAAAGCTTTCTTGATGGCTCCAATTCGGCCATCCATCATGTCCGATGGAGCAACAATGTGAGCACCTGAATATCGTCAAAATTAACTGTCAGTGGTGAGCAAAAATAGAGGTTGAACCAGGAGCCCCTTTTGATACACACCTGCAACTGCATATGCAAGAGCCACTTCTGCAATTCGTTTTATACTGGCTTCATTGTTGATGGCACCTGAGGGCAACAAAAGCCCACAGTGACCATGGGAAGTATATGGGCATAGGCAAACCTTTTGAGAAAATCAAAGTAAAGGTGATAAAAAGAATTAATGGCAAAGTACCTTCAACAATGAAACCGAACTTACATCACAAGCAATAACAAGATCTGGAAACCACTTCTTGAGCAGAGGTATTGCTATGACCACAGGATTTATTTTGGAATCAGCATTTGATCCAACAGCATCCTGAAAATAAATGTAAGATGTCAATGCCCAAATACAAAACACATCAAAGGAGAGGAACCCCCATGCAGCACAATACCATACCTTTGGAAGAGACTCTGCTACACCAAATAACAGAATGGACTTCAAACCCTTTTTCACAATGGGCTCAAGTGCTTCTTTCAGTCGATTGACTCCATATCGGCTAACACCTGGCATGCTAGCCACAGGTTGAACAGCATTGGGATCATCTCTGCACACAAAAAATAGATGACGTCAACATTAAAATTAAAACTGAAACTGAGAAACTAAATACAGTTAAACCAAACAGCACCTTTGTGTTGTTGTTTTAACAAAAATATAACCTTTACTCACACAATAAACACGGGATACATCAAATTAATTGCAGAAATCTCACAATTCGTGCTTTGCCAACTGCGCAAAACCGGGTGGAAGTACCCGCTGTGCAGTAAATGCTTTGGTTCAACCATGATCAGTGCTGAAAACGGCACTTTTCAACAATAGTTGAAGAAACTCACAAATCACGTCTGCAGCTGCACAGCAGAAACACTCAACGTACATCCGGATGCCGGCTGCAGCTGCCGCAGCTGCGGCTTTCGGGTCACGTGGGCAGCATGAGCACCACTATTGCAGCAAGAATAAAGGTCCTGTTTTATTAATTTTTCACGTCTATTGCAAGAACTTTACCATTTTTATTTGATTTTGTGTCATAAAATATTTTTTGAACTCGTTTTGCCTCACTCACTTTCTCACTGAAAAGGAAATATTTTGCCTCATTTATTGTTATTAGTTTCGTCGTAGCAGAAGCAGTGTAGCAGACGACAGACGAAAGACAACGATGAGGCCCATTTCAATTTTAAGGTCTCTTTGAGGCAGCCACTCGTTTTGTGACTTAAGCATCGTGGAACTTCTTATTTTAAGAGCTGCCGAACACCTGTACATCATAGTTGTCAACACTGTTTAATTAACACTATAAAATGAAGCTCTTTTCTTGGGTAAAATGCACAGTTCTGAGGTAACAACAATCCCATTGGGCCTTTTCAGTACAACAACTCATTCCGAACTTTCTGTTTAGGGTGCCAACTCTCATGGACAGTTGGGTCAGGGCAGTATTTCGGAAGCTTGTTGTCTTCCCACTGAAATAAGTGCATCTTGCATGGATCCAGCCTCTATTGTTTCTATTGTTGGCGGGGGTGGCCACTCTCTGGTCTTGGATCGTTCTGGCAATGTGTTTGCAGCTGGATGGAATAATAAGGGCCAACTAGGACTGGAAGGTGATGATGTTACTTCTTTCCAAAGTGTACAATCCTTACATGGTTATCGAGTCAATCAATTGGCTTGCGGCTGGGATTCAAGTTCGGCTCTGACATCAAACGGCTCGCTCTTAGTTTGGGGGTCCAATGCCTATAGCCAGCTTGGACTTAGTAAGCAGAAAGTAAGTTTATTATGATCCAATCATTAATGACTGTACAAGATTATACCAAGGTTCAAATTTTGGATTACTTCCTATTTTAAGCTCAAATCTACAAAATCTCCTCAAAGAATACCTGTTGCACGTGTAAAGCAGGCATCACTTGGTTTACGCCATTTGGTTATTGTTTCTGAGGCTGGCAAAGTTTATGCTTCTGGAGCTGGAAACAAAGGCCAGCTTGGAATTGTGGATTCTAGTGGACGTCCCCTCTCAGAGTCACAGAATATAACTCAAGGTACCTCTTTTATTTAATCCCTGCATATAATTTTTTTTTAAATCATCTGCTTTCTTTGAATATTTCTATTTTTTTCAGTGCCATTCTTAGATGATATTGTAGGTATATCTTGTGGCCAGCATCACAATATAGCGCTCTCAAAAAGTGGAAAAATTTTTGTTTGGGGTGACAATAGATTTGGCCAGCTTGGTCTGGACCCAGCTATTCATCCAGTTGTATATACCCCTCATGAGCTACAAATTTCTTTACCAGAAATTAAGGGACTTCCCTCTGCCTTGTTTGCGGGTTGGACGCACTCCGTTGTACTTACAGGTCTCTTTTTCTTTCACCCGAGCGTCTTTCTTGACGAAGTGCATTAGTAATTGTACCTAACTTTATTGCCTATTTTTAAACCAATCTTGTTTTCCCCCCTTAAGATAATGAGGAGCTGATCAATTGGGGCCGAAATTCTTATGGACAACTTGGATGTGATTCTCAGGAGAGAGTTGCGACATGGGATCCCTCTATTCTTAGAATGGATGAAAAATTAAGGCAGGTTGCTGTGGGGTCCGAACATAATGTTGTGTTAACAGGTAGGTCTCTCTTTGCCGTGTTCTATCTTTTCCAACCTTCCTTTTGTGTTTGCTACTGGGTGTGTGCAAATTTGAGATTATGTGATTTGGCTTCCAGAAAAGAGAGATATATTAAGCTGGGGTTGGAATGAACATGGCAATTGTGGGACTGGAGCACAAGAAAATGTGCTGAAACCCAGTATTGTGAGAATGGAATCAACAAAGAGAGCAACTATGATTGGAACAGGAGCATGTCATTGTTTTGTAGTTCTAGATACCAATTAAATGATTTTGAAAGAAATAAGTCTGAGATATACAAAGGGTTCACATGATGCTGATGTTTATTACCATTAAAATATGTGCCATAGCACTTTTGAAGGTATGAAGCATAGGGTATAACGCGACAACGTACTACCTAATTGGGAGCTTACACAAGCTCAGCAAGTCCGCATTCTTGGCAATGTAATTAATTTTCTTCTAGAAGATGACAGCCCATACCATAGATTGTTACAACTTCTAATTGACGGCTAGTTCAACAGAACAATTGATCAAATTTTCCTATGATATCTTCAGCACCAAGAGCAAAAGCTAAATACAAGTTTGCAAGAGGGAATGACATCCTTGACAGATGACTTTAGCAATCACAAGGGCACCAAATACAATAAGATAATCTTTACCCATTTTCCATCCAGTATCATCCTGCAACTTTGCACTCCTGCACCCCAATTCATGACCGAAATTCACACAAATCAAGCTAACATTATTAGATACAGCCAAAGAAAATATATAATAATACTAACTCATAAGCATTGAATATGTATAAAGTATAAACATGATGGCAAGTCAAGAAATGCCTCCTGCAAATGTTGAGGCATTGTCCAAAAAAAGATCAACAAAAAATAGGGTAACTTAACAACCTATATCCATTACTACTTCAAAGTCAAGATATGTTAACACCACAGACTGACCCTTATTCTAATTCATCATCACATATCTTGATAAAATCTATGAACTGTCATAATACTGAAATCAGAACACTTCATTATAAATAAACTTAGCTTCCCTTGCTCATGACTAAAGCCACATCTAAAAACAAAGATATAATATGTAATTAAGTTTGATCTGATATCCACTGTATGTATACACAAAGTAACTCTAGAAGAGGATCAAACACCAGTGTGAATAATGATAAAAGGCTTTTAATATCAGTAAAGCCTTGACTAACATAAAACCTTAAAACTCTGCAAAATTATTTCAAAAATACACCTTTGAGTTTAAAAATTTACATCAGTTTTGGCCCACACATCTCTATCTACACAGCTATTGCAAACTAATTAATTTTAACTTTTGAGATTCATTACTAACATAAGACAGTTCTCGACCAAACAACCACAATCCATGAATTTAATTTATTTTATATCATGCACAAATTGACAAAATTAAATGCATTACAGTAGTCCTGAGTTCTCTGAAGCCAGGGTTTCCTTGCTACAACAGGGAGATTACTAATGATGATCCAGAAATTGTTCAAACTTGTGAGAAACTAAGTCGTTTTCATAATGCCAATGAATTCAATTAACTACACAAACATCTGAACAGAGATCTCTTTGACACCAAGCTTCATTAAACATAGATGCTACACAAATTATCAGAAGAAATTTTACTCTTCACGATCATTGCTGAGGTCAACAAAATGTCACAAAAATACGTACCTAATATTACTAATTCCACTTTCTTTTCTCACTCTAATAAGGCTGGAATGTACATCAAATAGTCATCAACCATCAAATCATTCAAGAAAAATAGATATTTTCCATCGTACTGCATAAAATGTCATACTTTCAAAATCATGACTATCATTAAGAATGTCCATAGCATCAAATGTTGGGATAATAAAAGACATTGATTTATGCAGGTTTATACATAGAGAACAAAAAATGGTGACTGCTTGATTCTGACAAGTGTTCCAACCAATTGGTAACAAACCAGAGTGGTTGAAACTATGGTACGCAGTTTAAATTCAGTGATAAACAATATGGACTAAACAATACAATCTTAAACAAAAATACCGATTTAAAAATGAATCACGAATTGCTGTCCAGAAACAGGAGGACAAGTTGACACTACATACTTCAAACTTATCACAGTTACTCATCAAGCAGGAAAAAATCATAATAAGAGAGGCTCAGCAAGTCACTCTTCGGCTTTGGCATGGGTTTCCTAGGGCCTCATACATTTATCGCAAAGCTCTGTAAGCAAGACCCTTCTGGTTTTCATTGTAATGAGATGGTAACTGCAAAAACAGAAACAAAACAGAAATTAATTTAAGTAATGTTCAAGAAAATAAGAATTTTAAAAAATAACCAACATTTGACACTTACATTTGCTCCAATGCGGGACAAGTACCGGTTTCTTATGTGGAAGTCAGAATGGGGTTGAAGAAGATCTTGAGGTGTGATATCGGACATAGATCCTGCAGCTACCAATTTTTCTCGTTCCAGATCTTCCGCAGAGCTGTCACAAGAACATGGAAATTAGGAAAGAACAGATTTGTGAAAATGTCAAGAAATAGAATACAAATTAGATCATTTGTTCTACTTACATTCTATTCTTTTCATAGACTTCTCGTTCTGCAGCAGACATGTTAAGGATTCCTCCATGACTGGAGTCGTACAAATAGATCACTACAGTAGTGACAAGAGCCACTGAAAAATAATAATAATAGCAACATAGAGTACAATAAATTTAAATATCTGGAAAAAATTGAAACTGAAATATTACCACAAAGACAAGCAAGGAAGAATATTTCCAGCATAAGGTAGCCTCCATTGTCAACAATTATTCCACACAGGAGAGTAATCAAGGCTAGGCCCAAGTTTTGGACAGACTGCATGCTAAAAGTAAGAGTAAAAAAAAAAGTTAACAAAAGCACAGATGATAATTTTGTAAGAATTTGGTCCACAAATAATTACTATGATATACATACACTCCATAAGCCGTGCCAAGTTGGTGCTCTGGGATAACCATTGCTGTCATTGGCCACAAACCACTAGCAAGCATCGAGTATCCTAAACCCATCAGGGACTGTGAAACAATATATATTTCTATTAGTTACTCTTAAAATTTAATGAATATGGAGATAGTATCAATTATTATTATTGTTATTACTTACAGTGCCCACAAATGGGTTGACAAATGAGAAAGCAAGAAGGGCATGGCTTCCAATTGTCACAAGAATAGATACAAAACAACAAACAATGTTGCGCCCAAATTTGTCGACTAAGATACCAAAGAGTGGCGAAGATACTGCAGAAATTGTATAAACAATGCTGTTCACAGTATTGGCTTCAGCAGGAGACAACCCAAACTTTCTGATGAAGAAAACCCTTTAAAAAAAGGCAAACAACAACATTTTCATGGGGTTCCAAGAGCAAAATACATGATAACATTCAAACTGACATCATACATAAATGACTTACTTTCCAAGTGCAATGAAGGGGAAAATTGCAACGTAATACGCTACACAGACAAGAGCGATCATCCAAAAGCTGGCAGGAAAGTCCTTTATATCAGTAATGCGTACCACCTCTCCAGATTGGTTATCTCTTCGTTTTAGAAGCCTTTCTGCTCGACGGTCCATCCAAGCCAAAATGATAGTACTGAGTAAGGATAGTACTGTTGTTGCAGAGGCTAGCAGCAAAGAGAAATAATGAACACAATAAATATAAAAGTAGACCCAAACTTATCACATGATTGAGTTCAGTAATTACCTATGAAAAGAACCACCCCTGTACATGTGAAACCGTCATAATAAGTGCTGACCCATTTGTAGAGAGGTTCCATAACACTGAAATTGACAGTCGATCCCACTCGAGCAAAGCTCATTTGAAGACCAAATACCATATTCAGTTCCTTTCCTTTGAACCAAAGGACAGCATATGTGTTCTGAGCCACTGCAAGCGACTCTCCTCCAATACTGAAGAACAAAAAATATTTATCATAAATTGAAGTTATAATGACACCAAATTTGTCAAATTTTCAAAAACTGCAACCTTAAAGACATACCCAAAAATGAATCGTCCAGCAACCATGAGCCAAAATTTATTCAAAATTGCCCCCAGAGCAACAATTGTGACACCAACAACGACTAAAAGAGCAAAAATGCATGTTCCCAGACGGATGCCAAATACTCTGAAAGGGTAAAGCACTTCAATGTCAACTCTGAGAGAATAGGTCAGTTAGAAGGCAGAGATAATAGAAAGTTATTGTTACCTGTCCATGAGGAATCCACCAACAATACAAAGTACTACACTGGGCCATGAATACCATGAATACAAGTAAACAAACTGACTAGTACTGAGGTTCAAATCTTTCATGAAGTTATCCTGCAAAGCAGCGGGATTGTCATAACAGAAGTAGGAACCTGCGATAAAAGACGAAAAAAGATGGTTACATACCGAGGTAAAAATCATATCAACATCCAGAGTCTTTTAAATGGGTCATGAAATGTCATGAAGTAACTGTGGTAAAAAGACAGGAATACTTACCAAAACCTAACAGGCACATCAGCACAAGCCCGCAAAACCTGTAAATGCAGCTTTTGGGGTTGCAGCAGGAGCTGCCCCCGCATCCTTGCTGCTCTTGCTCTGAGTCATCCTCGGAAGTGGTCGCGTTCACAGAGTCTACCCTAGATATGTCATCCATGGCTTATCACGGACTACCGGAGTCGCGTGTACTTGAAATAGGAATTCAAGGAATAACTGCAGGACAAAGAAGCACGGGCAAAGGATAAAAAGAAGCTAGAGGTGTTCCAATAAGGCTGGTCCGATGCAGCAATAACAAAGAGCCCGCATCCCCAAATTCGTACTCACCCTTTGCGACTGTTGCGTCCCTTCGCTCTTCCTGGGTTGAAAGCTAGTTGAGATGCATGCCACTCATGCCACACACATGGGACTTGGCGTCACTGTGCTGGGCCGAGCGATAACTATACATACAAAAGAAAACATATGTGGAAACAAACCAGAACCAGCCGACAAACCCCTCCCCACCACAGCTATCGATCACCCCGTTGCCTGCAAATAATCCCGAAACCCGCTGATGGCAGATGAGGCAGGCTTCCCGACACGTTACATACTCCCAACCTTAAGAACTAAACTTGCTAAAATTGCGTCGTTGAAACATCGCTCAAGCTCTTAAATTACAACTTAAAAAATATTAAATAATTTTTAAAATATTTTTTTAAGAAATCTGATGAGATTGATGAAATATTTTTGGAAAATGACCAGACTGTTGATGTAGCTACGTTGCAAGAGTGGAGGAGTGTTTCATTTTTCCTGTCGTCTGTTGTTGTTGCTGGTTGTCGTCTGTCACCGACTGTCGACGTGTGTTTACATTTTGTGACACAAAAATGATAGTTTGACAGTTCTCAAATGCAAGTGTCCTTGCCGGTAAGGTTTTCAATTGATAATCAAATCACAGTTCTATCTTATACGAAAGGACTTTTATGTTAGCTTAATTGTGCAGTTGATAGCTCTGTAGATGACAGAAGTGTGCATTGTTGTCACAGCAGGTAACAATGCTCTGTTTTTCCCAACCACCCTTGCTACCGCGATTCATTCAAACTAGAGCATTATTTAATTTTTCTAAAATGTGTAGTGTCTCTGTTTCAAATTCACATCCTCAACCCCGACCTCAAAATTTATGTGTGTTCATGACCTCAATACCTTCTAGTGTGTGCTAGCTTGCTGTATGTTTTGTCCTTTGGCAGCTGCTGCTCTTGCAAACTGAAATGTGAAAAAAATCAATCATGGCTTTTGAAAGCAATGCAGACCAAACCGGCAGAAAGGTTAAGGTACAGTTAACAACTCCATGCTTCATGCTGCTGACATAACTCTGCTTATTCTCTTCTTAAGTGATCCGGTTAATTATTAGCCTGAGCTGCTCTGCTTCAATCAATTGTTCTAAGTTGCTCTATTCTTTAGCTTAGGCATGTGCTCAGTGCTTGTACGATTAATTGATTTTTTGGGTCCAGCATGCCATGTGGGTAAATGCACGCAGAAGCAGCAGCAGTTCATCAATAAGCCCCTCTGTTTCATTGACGGACTGTGCAGTGGATCTTAGTACCTCTGTTGACTGCAATATAATACGCCTAGGTACGAAATTTTAGCTTTCACCCATTGGCTCTAAATGTCATTCATCCTATTTTCAAATATTTTCTTTTTATCTGTTTAGGTTTGGGAAACTTGAGGAAACATGGTGCTCTAGACCTTTCTCTTGCCCGTGTTCACTCTGTTGGTAGAGCTGCTGATGTAAGTAATTAATTTAAAAATTTTTAATGGTAGACCTTGTGGGTTCTGAGGGTGCAAGCCTTTGGCACACATGTTGCTTGCTAACCAGGTAATCTGTGTTTGTTGCAGGTGACAAGTTCAAGAGTGTTTCAGCCTGATCTTATAAACCACCATCTGGAATATCAAAGGGATGATACTCAGAGTCCTGATGAGGTCGCCAAGAGACCTCAAATTAAAAATGCACGGGTCAGTGCTGCTGAACAGGAACTTGTTTCTAATGGCATAACATCGAAGAAAAGGCCCTCAGATAGTTCAAAGCCCAACATCCCTGGAAATTCAGTGGTGCTGAGCGACTTTGATCCTGGTAATAATTTGGAATCCTACCAAGTGCCTGTTGTAACTACTGACAAGTTGCAACCTTACCCCCCTGGCTTCATTACCATAGTGAAAGAGGGGCCTGCTCATGAAGTATCATCATCAGTGTTGTTGGCTTCGATAGAGCAAGAATTAGAAGCATTAAAATCACCCCAACACATCAATAGTTCTATGGCGTCAAATGAAGAAAGTAAGCATATATGATAAGCCTTTGCATTATTGTGTTCAAGAATTTTCTGAAGTTAATTTTCTTTTCTTTTTTCTGTTTTTTAGTCCATTTGGATGCTGTGGATCATCATGGAACAGAGGTTCGTTTCTGCTAGTTGTTTTTAATAGAGTTGTATTATGTTCACATATAAATATTTCTTTAGATTTTTTTTTTGTTTTGCCATGCATGCATATTTAGTGCTTGCACTCGTTTCTTCTGCATTTTTTTTCTTTGATTTTTTTTGTTTTTTGTTTTTGTTTTAATATGTAGATTAAGGTGTGTCACTGTCGAATAGCACTTGAAGAGCGCCTGCACGCTACTGTTAAGGGATGTTTAGAGTTGAAGCATCAGGTAAAGTATTTTGTTTTTGTTTTTGTTTCCAGTAGAAAGCTGTCCGAATTTTGGCTCCATCCTCTGAAATATTTTGAATTTCTGTTACCTTCTGCTTGTTTTAAATTCAAACATTACTTTTTTCAGGTCGAGTTGGCTGATTCTAAATGTGCCAGATGGGAAAAAGAGGCAGGAGAATCTTCTGAATGTGTTGCTAAACTACGAACTAAGGTGTCGGAGCTGGAAATAGAACTAGCTGCCCGCAATGCTTCACTTCATGGCCTCAAAGCTAAGGTTGCCCAACAATTTATGGAGAATGATGATATTAATGAACGTAGAAGACAATTTGAACGAGATAGCAAAGCACAGCTGGCTCAGGTACTTAAAACATTATAATGTTTCTTAAGGTCCTACACAGTATAGTATTATTTATTTTAAATTTTATCATAAATCATCTAGCTGGACAGCATTAAGAAGTCAGAGCTATGGTACAGAGAGCAGCTTCATCTGACTCAAGTGGAGCGGTGCACTTTGCAAAACCAATTGATGTCAACACAAGAAGATGTGGTTCGCCAAGCTCATGAACTAGAAAGACTGAGGTCAGATTTGAAGCGGGTTCAAGATCAACTGAAAGAGTCTGAAGAAAAAAGTTTAAAGGAAAAACAAAATTTTACCATGCGATTAGAAAAGGCCTTGGCATTCTCGACACATCTTCCCAACCATGAGAACCCCAACAAATCTCAAAAGGTGGCGGTAAGTTCACAACCCATGTCACAGCACAACTTCTCTTTCTTTCTGTTTTTCTTCAAACTTTGAAACTGTCCTTTGTTTCTCCAGGAGGACCATGCCGTCACAGAGCTCAAGCAGCGCGTCTCGGACCTGGAGCTCAGCCTGGAGGCCAGCAACAGCAACCTGGAGCGGTCCGGGACGGAGATCGACCGCCTGGTGTCCCGCAGCCTGCAGCTGCAGCGCGAGCTGAGCGAGACCAAGATGAGGCTGCAGGAGGACCAGGACCGCCTCCTGGCCGCCACCAAGGACCGCGACAAGGCGGAGGCCGCCCTGCAGGAGCGTGAGCGCGCGCTGGCGCTGCTGTCGCAGGAGCACACCACGCTGTCCGTCAAGCTGGAGTGCCAGGCCCGCGAGCGCGCCGACCAGGACGAGGCGCTGCAGACGCTCACGCGCAACTTCACCAACGTGTCGTCGCGCTTCAACGCCATGCGCGCCGAGACGCAGAGGCTGCGCGAGGAGGCCGAGGCTCGCAGGGAGGAGACTCGCGCGGCCCAGGCGGAGCGCGACGCCGCCCTGGCGCGCCTGGACGACGCGGCGCGCCGCGAGCAGACGCACACCCTGACCGCCAAGCTGCAGGCCGAGGACCGCGACGCCGCGAGGGGCGCGCGCGAGGCCCAGCTGGAGGGCGAGGTGCGAGCGCTGCGCGAGGGCCTGGACAGCGCGCGCGGCGCACACCAGCGCGCCGACAACCTGCACGCCGAGAACCTGCAGCTGGCCGGCCGCAACGACCTGCTGCAGGCCCAGGTGGAGCGGCTGTCCGCGCTGCTGCAACAGAACACCGGGTCGGGCGTCAGGGAGCAGGACGGCGCGGCGCAGCAGGCCAAGGTGGACCAGATGCAGGTGGAGCATGCGCAGCTGCAGGTCCAGCTGCGCGGCAGCGGCGTGCAAGTGGAGCAGCTGCAAGCCGAGAACAGTCGCCTCCTGAGCCAGGTGCAGAAGAGCACGGCGCGCCTGGCCGAGCTGACGCAGAGCCTGCAGGTGCTGGAGACGGAGATGGCGGAGCTGAGGCAGCAGCTGCAGGTGCAGCAGGGCCAGGACGGTCTGGTGGCGCAGCTGCGGGCCGAGAACAGCCTGCTGCAGCGCGACAAGCACGACCTGGGCGCGCGCGTCGACGAGCTCAGCCTGTGGCTGGACACCATGACGCAGGGCATGCGCCTCGGGGCGGAGGGCTCCACCGAAGAGCGGCTGCGGCGGCTCAGCACGTCGCCGGTGCACGTGGAGGCCGTGCTGGACGTGCCCGAGGACGCTCGCGGCCAGCTGGAGGTGCTTCGCGACGCCAACAGCGAACTGGCCCTGCACGCTGCGGCACTGCAGCGCAAGCTCGACGCCGTCCTGGACAAGGCCACAGCCGCCACAAACGGCCTGGCCACCGACGCGCACGCGACGCCCGACTTGCTGGCGTCGTCCGGGAAGGACTTGGGGAAGGGCGAGGACTTGCAGACCGCGTCGAAGAAGGACGACGTCCGCGGCCTCCTCGCCCTGCTGCAGGTGTGCTTGTACCGCGCGCGCGAGACCCACCGCGCCAACGGCGTGCACGACGGCCATGGCGATCACGTCATCGGGGAGGGCCTCGGGGAGGGCGCGGACCGGCAGGAGCTCGCCTGCGCTCTGGACAAGTTAGCCGCCAGCCTTGAGGTGCTCGGGCTGGCGCACGGCGGCCGCCCCGACGCCTTGGAGGCCCTGGAGGAGCGCGCCAACCGCCGGGATGACATGGTGCGCGCGCTGCTGGGCCGCCTCAAGGACCAGGTCCTCGCGCGCAAGGCGGCCGAGGACAAGTTGGCGGCGCTTGGGGTGACCAACGGCAAGGGCCCCGGCCTGGACCACGGCCTGGACCACGACTGCCACGCTTGCGCGCTCAACGGGGGCGCCCCCGCGGCAGGTGAGTTCGGTGAGTTCCCTGCGACTCACCCTTCCCGCTTTGTTGTCGGGGAGGATTTCGTCGCAGCGGGTGCCATCTTTTTTATTCATTATCCAACACTCGCGCGCCTCGTTCGTGCCGGTTCGTGTCAAAGCGTGCATTCCGAAGTGGGTCGATGGTGCCGGCGATCGGATCTGGGGCGGGCCGGCTTAGCTTAATGGCGTCCAAGGTGACCCAGCGAGGCCCGCGCCCGCGCCGTGCCGGCAGCCCATCAAAGATTCAGCCTTTCAGAACGCGGCGCATCGCGGTCGATGCGCATCATTTGTTCATCTGCCGGCCGACGACGCCGTTTGTGGTGGCAGCGAAGGCGCGACGGACTTCCACGGGCGCAGCCGAAACAATTTTTGTAAAAGACGTTGAACGCCTTTCCAGGAGACAGCCTGTCCGTGGCCGAGCACGACGCCGAGCGTGAGGCCGAGCGCCGGCGCCTGGAGCAGGAGGTGTGCGACCTGAAGGCCAACATCGCCGAGCTGCACCTGCAGCTGTTCAACGAGCGGCGCGACCTGTCGCAGCTGCGCAAGGAGGTGTCCAGCCTGCGCCTGGGGCTGGACACGGCCAACGACATGCTGGACAGCAACAAGGTGGCGCTGGGCCGCAGCGAGGCGTACGGCCAGGTGCTCAAGGTGTCCAAGGAGCAGCTGGAGCTGCGCTTCGAGAAGGAGCAGCGCGACCACGAGGACTGCCGCCTCCGCCTGGAGCAACTGCAGGAGCAACTGCAGGAGGCGCGCGCCAAGGACCCCCTCATGGAGTCCAACATCAAGGTAGGGGGCGTTCCGCTGGGGTGCGAGAGGGACAGAGTCACCACGTGCTTCTCTGGAACAGTTGTGACTGGGGCGCCTGACGACTCCACGGTAGGCCAGCCCGCCGCGCAGGGAGGTTCGGCGGGCTGGCCTATCCGGAGCACCGCAGGCGCTAGGCCGGAGGCGTAGTGATCAGTGCCCTTACCCCTCCAACAAACATGCATGGGTAAACTCGATAGGGAATGGGACAGAAGGGAGTGACGGAATTGGACCAGTCTAGCCCGCCGCGTCGGGAGCCTCTCAGACAGCCGCGCTTCCTGTCCCCTCTCTAGGACGCGTTGGACGCGGGGCTGTGGCTCGGCAGCAGCAGCCGGCTCAACTCGTTCCTGAGCCACCCCAACCCCAACCCCAACCTGAACCTGAGTCAGAGGGTTCGGTGGCGGCTCAGGCAGCGCGTCGCCCATCCTTGAGGTACTCCTTAAGGGACCCCGGGGAGTCTGTGTCCGGGACGCTCGGGACTTCCCCGAGAACTACATCGCGGGCGAAGGCGAAGCGAACGGGCTGCAGTGGCGCTAATTTTGGGGTCCTTGTTGTCTTGCCGCCAGGCCCTGGGATACCACCTCCACCAGCGGTCCGGGGAGGTGCGTGCACTGCAGGACCGCCTGGCGCTGCGGGACCGCGAGCACGACGCCCTGCGCGTGCAGATGGAGCGGCAGAGGGCCGCGGCGCGGCGCGACTACGAGGAGCTGCAGAAGGAGCTGCAGCAAGCGCAGCGGGAGTTTTCGGAAGCCCTGAGAAAAGTAAGCGCTCTTCACCTTGACGCTTGCACCGGTCGCACCTGTGCGCTGGAAACCTACCTGATTCCCCCGTCCTCTTGTCCGCAGATGAGCAGTAATGTTCCTGACCCAGTGCCCTGTGATGAAGAAGGGCTCTCCGCACTCATTCAAGAAAGCAATCGTCTGTCACCAGCAGTATTAGATGATTTAAAGGCTCTCCTGCACAATCTCAAGGTGGAACTTAAATCAGTGGAAAGAGACGTTGGTGTTAATATAGAGAGGACTGCTGCTGTTGTGCAGCATGTTTAACATATTCTGTGATGGGTTTTGTATTTATTTTGCTATTGTTTTTATTTTTTTAAATCCATATTGGTATCTATTTTTACCCTGATGATTCGGTACTTTTGACGCCTGTCAAATTTTTATTCCTTTTCTTTTAATTGTTATTTTAACTCTTGTTGGTTTTTGTTTGATCTGAGGAGGTTTCACTAATAGGTCTGGTATTTGGCATCACAATGCTCGACTTTTGTTTGCAAAATTTACATGTTGTTATCTTTTTGTTAAGAACAATATTTGTTTTGTTTCCAATTTTGTTTCAACCGACAAGGATATTACCATTTGACTTTCTCTTGTGATTCATCATGTTTTTTTGTTATTTTTTTCCTTTGTTTTAGTTTTTTGTGTTGTTTGCTTTTAAATTTGTTGTGTCTTTAGTAGTGAACCATGCATTGTGGTCTGACTCTCTGTGATCCTTATCTTTTTATAAGTGAAACATTTATCTTTTTTATATATAGGCTGAAGTTTGTGCCAAAGTCTGAGGCCCCAAAGATTCTTGCGTTGGCATGTGATATGTATTTTAATTTATAGATGTACTTAAATTGACCCATTGGGTCATAAGTGCCCACATTATTTTTTTACATGTAATCTTTTAAGACATGTAGAACAGTCTATATACTTTTGTCCATTGAAAAATGAACATTCCTTCATATTTCTTTCCATCATGTATTAAAAACGAGTGTCAGTATTATCTGTGATGTGTCATTTTTTATCTCGATAATTGAGGTCATAAAAAAAAACTCAAAAATTTAGTTGAGGTGTTTAATGTAGAGACACGCAAGCATACAGGTTCTTATTGGCAGAGGACCTGCCCCTATACAATTAAATTACTTTATCAAACTTATACCATAAACAAAGAGAAATATTTACAAAGGAGCACAGCTGCTAATTAAACCTTAAAATAAATTAAATACAACAGGCAAAAAAGTCAGCACCCTAAATTTGGAATAGTTGAGTAAAACTTTCATTCCATAAATCACTCATAGCATCTGAGGAGGAAATATCACTATGTGGTGATCCAAACGATTCGTAACCACAGTCTGATTTGACAGCTTCTGTAATGTCACTCTGAGGAGACAATGGTTCATCTTTAAAGGGTGGCATCAGATAAGATGTAGTAACTTCTTGGACAGCTTCTCCAAGGATAACACAATCACCACTGTCATCAGGGGTTGGAACAATGATGGTGATACACTCATCGGGGGAAAATGCACTGTTTAGGGCACTGGCAAGAATGTCTGGTTGCGGGGATTTGACTGGTAACGTAACACATGTTGGTGTACCAGTAGTGAAGCACAAATTATGTTGGGCTGGTAAAATTGTTGGCTGTGCTTGAAGAGGGCTTTTCTTCATGGTTTGTTTTGACTGACGAATTTGGGTCTTTTTCCGAAGTGGCCGTTGAACACTGCGCGAAGGGGTCTCTACAGGAAGCATCTCAACTTCCATGCGTTCAGTTACGCTGGCACTTCTTCGACAGGGTTCCATGATTTCTGATGCCTTCCCCACCACTGGTTCCACGCTTGAGATATTCTGAAAAATTGAAAGAAAACATTTTTATTAAAATTGAAATAAAGAAACAATATATTACTTGGAGCCAATAAAAGTATGACCCGCACCTCTTCACTGGCAAAGGCTTCTTGGAGGAGGCTTTCCGCAAATCGCTCCAAGTCTCCAAGGTCTGGGAGATCTTCACTAGATCCCAGGTCTGCAAGGAGCTCCGGGAGAGAAGGAATGTCATCAACAAGATCCTCAAGACGCTCAGGCTGTCTACTTGCTTCCCGTCCAATCCCTTCAGCAGAGGGTGTCTAGTCGACTCAGCAGGTCGTGACGAAACGGACGGGAGTTCAGCAGGCGTTGCCTGGGCATTGCCTTTAGGACTCTTGCCACATGAGCACTTCTCTGATTGTAAAGTCTCAAGCAGTGCTGTAGTGGTCATCTGGGCATCGTGTAGTTGTTGTTTTAGTAAGGCGTTTTCAGTGGCCAATGTTGCATTCTGTTTAGTCATGGCTTCAAGCTGTAAAAAAGCAAAGCAAATACATTACAGTGAGCCCTAGTATTTTATAAAACAATAGAAGTCTCCTAAAAGTATTAAAATTATTGAGAGGCTACTGATATTATGAACACACCTCCTGAGACATTAGTACAATGGATGATTCCAATTCATCCATCCGTTGCTTTTTACGATCTCTTGATGTTTGTGCAGCAACACGATTTTTTAATTTCCTGAAAACCCAGGCAAACAGATGAATTAGTCAAACGGCAAAAGAGCCAAACGAGATGTTGAGGCTGATGCAACACTGTAGCGACATTTGGGAGCTGTCATTATCAGCTGTCAAAATCATCACATAGACATGATTTATGTATCATAAAATGGGCCTCATTTCAGTGATTGTATCGACAACACCATGAAACAATGAGGGAAGCCAAAGACAACAGTTAAGGGGGTGGCCTCATTAAGGCGCCCTGCCCTGGTTCCGCCCCTGCCGTGGAAGGTTCCAGAACGCCGCGTTTATCGCCAGTAGCTGGAGAGCGGCGGCAGCCTGCACTGCGCCAGACACTTACTTCCTGTACTGCTTCTCCTCCAAGGTGAGGTGCGCCAGCCGCCTCTTCCTGTTGGAGACCGTGGGTTCAATCATTGCTGGTGATTGCTGGATCCCGCTGTCACCGCCAGCAGCCTGGGCTGGGACGGTGATGATGAAAGCTTGAGACGTCACCATGTTCACAAATTCCAATTTTCACGCACTGACATGTACCGGCATCGAGAAATTATCACACTGCGATGGCTCTGCACCGTCTAACAACGCATGTCCATCCGTTCCGCGCAACTTCTTCGCCTGGAATGCATTCTGTTTTGCTCCTTCTCGCTAGCGCTCCATGCTGATGCAACACAAGCAGACAACGAAGCAGGACTACTTTCCAGCGCTGTCATTGGCGGGCCACGGGCGAATGTGGTCTAATCCCATTGGTCGAGAGCCTCATTGACGTCATTCCCGCGGTCGCGTTGGTGGGGGAGCCATCGACGGTGATTTCGACTAATCGAAGCGGTCTTAGAGAGGCGCGCCTGGCGGCAAGTTCGAATGCAGTCGCGTGGTACAGCGGGCTTGTGTTCACGTTTTCCTGGGAAAACCGTCATTCCCTTTCCTTTGGACCCAGCTTCGCAGACGCATCTCTAAGAGAAAGTCCCATTCGAAAATCACCCCGAATCATAACGCCTGAACAAAATGAACGTTTGAACAAAATGAAACTCCATTCCAGCGTTCTCCTACCCCACCCCTTTCCCACCCCACTACCCGCCGGCTTTGGGCGTCAACCCGTGCGGGCCTCCACTGCCTCCCCGTCGCCCTTCCCTTTCCCCCGGCCGGTACAGCCGGTACCCACGAGGGGCCCCTTCACCCCCCCCCCCTCCCCTTTTCCCTTCGCCGCCGCGGTGCGGCCCGGTTTCCCCCCCGCCCCCTTCACCCGCCGCGCCGGCAGGCCGGCTGAATGCAGGCAGCAGCAGCAGAGAGCAGCCAGACAGTAGACCGTCGGCGTCGTTCGTTGGGCGTGTCACGAGAGAAGCCTCCACAGCCCGGCCAGCGCGCACCCACATTCCAGTCAACAGCCATGAGTCCACGGGTGAGTTGAAACCGCGTACTCTGCCAGCGTACTGTGCCTACGCCTACAACCCCCGCGATCGAAACCCCTCGCGACAGTACAGTACTCTAGATGGACGGCCAGAGCGGCGGCGCGCTGTCATTTTGTCGTTTTGACGCGCGCGTTTCTGCCGACGGCGCTGCGCGACGAACCACACCACGTTGACAACCATCGCGAACTTGAGCGCTGTTCGAGTGGCTGGAAAAAAAATTTGTCGGTGCGGAGTTCCGTGTTTGGATGGGGGAGGGAGGGGGGCTCACTGTCGTGAGCAGAGGGGAGGGGTGGCTGCAGTCTCGCCAAAGTTCAATTTCTGCCAATTTGTACAGCGCGGGCCTATATTGGCGTGGGCGTGTCGCGTTTGAAACTAGCCTCGTCGTAGGGCCGCGCCGCGCATGACGCCGTTTACCAATTGCGCTATTTATACCCTCGGCGGCCTGGCCCTGGCCCTGCTGCCTTGCTTGACGGCCGCCCTGGTGTCTTGCTTCGCGTCCTCCGCACCTTCGCGGCCCTCGCACGGGCCGGCACGCAATCAGAGGTCCAGACGCTCTTCAAGGACGGAAAAATCAATTTGGCGGCCCCCTCCCTCCCCACGGTCTCTCTCCCTCCACACTGTGCCGGCGGCGGGCTCATCTCCGCTTGCATCTCTAGATCCTGGCTGTCTATCCTTGGCCGCCGTAGTACACACATTCCGCGGGCATGCTCCCTCTCTCTCGCACTCGTGGGACGTCCCTCTTGGGTGCGAGAGAGAGGCGGATCGTCGGGAGGCCCCGCGCCGCGGCCGGCAGTGACTCATGCGGGTCCAGGCAGATTCCTCGCGCGTACTGAGTCACTGTTATCAGGAGTTATCGGCGCGGAGGGGGGCGGGGCAGGGTCCACTCCAGAGGTCCGCTCCAGGGCCGTCGCTCGCTCTGTCTCTCTTGCCCGCATGCGGCGTCCCCTATAGGTGCGAGAGAGACAGACAGAGCACTGCAGCAGGCCATCGATCCCCGGAGGGCGGACAGCAATTTTGCGGTGTGTTGACGCACCTGTCAGGGGCAGGAAAGCCTCCAATCGATGCGGAAGGACGCCGCTGTGCTTCGGGCCCTTCGGGGCCTCACCCTCTCGCTCGGTCTCTCTCTCTTCCTCACCCTTATGGGACGAGCATGAGTAAGAGAGACAGAGCGACGACATCGCCGTGCGGAATCGCTCCTGACGTCGCGGCCTTGAGCCTCTAGGGTCGCGTCGTCGCTCTGTCTCTCTCGCACTCAAGGGCTGACCGCAGGGGTGCGAGAGAGACGGAACGAGCTTGCAGGGCAGCGGATCCAATCTCGGCAATTGGCGCGAACTCCTGGCCGAGCGGATGCCGGCTCGGACCCCCTCCCCCCTCACACCTTGGGAACCGGACGAAAATGACAGCCGTTTGGTTTTCTACGCGCAGGGTGTTCCCACTGTGGTGCCGGCGGCCAACTTCAGCGCCGCCGACGACGGCGCCGCGCTGCGCGCCGCCATGAAGGGCTTCGGCACGGACGAGCAGGCCATCATCGACATCCTGACGACGCGCTCCAACGCCCAGCGCCAGGAGATGGCGCGCTACTTCACCACCGAGTACGGCAGGGTGAGTCCCGTCCAAAGTCCTCAAGTTTCTCTACAAAAATGAAAAATGCTGCAGACTGACGGTGACTGTTCTGGTTTTTCTAGGACCTGATCGATGACCTCAAGAGCGAACTTGGCGGCCACTTCGAGGACGTGGTGGTGGCCCTGGTGCGGCCGCCGGCGGACTACCTCTGCAAGCAGCTGCACAAGGCCATGGAGGGCATGGGCACCAACGAGCACACCCTCATCGAGATCCTCTGCTCCAGGTCCAACTCGGAGGTGCAGGACCTCGTCACCGCCTACGAGCGCCGTGAGTCGACCTTGCCGCGTGACAAAAGAAGACTTAATAAAAAATGCAGTAATGTGGGTAAAATTGGTGGGTAATTTGTCCGCGTCCTTGTCCCAGTGTACGACCGGCCCCTGGCCGAGCACATGTGCAGCGAGACTTCGGGAGACTTCCGCCGGCTGCTGACCCTCATCGTCACGGTGAGTGCCTTTGCGATTTGGTCACTATTTATTGATCCTTTCTGCCCCTACTCTAGAGAGAAACGAACGGAGCGGTCGAAACGGCGTCGGTTCGATTGTATCGAAGCCGTTCCGACCGCCCCGTGGCACTCGCGCTCGCTCGCCCTTTTCGCCTTCCTCACTGTATGAAAGGCCTTGCTTCACTTGAGCGTCGTACTGATTCCAAACAGCGGTTTCGTCGCTGTCTCTCTCAGAGACAGAGTGACGAAGCACTGTACGGAATGAGCGCCTTGATCTCTTAGTCGCGCCGCTAGAGGGCGCTCGACTCGCCCGCATGCCGACATGACTCTGTATCAAGCATGGAGTACATCTGCTTGTGGATTGGTGCAGGGCGTGCGGTCCGAGAGCACGGCCGTGGACCAGGCCAAGGCGCGCGAGCAGGCGGAGCAGCTGCACGCCGCAGGTAGGTGCCGTGCATGGCTGCAGGCTGGTTCGGGCCTTTTCGTCGCTCTGTCTCTCTCGCACTCATGGGGCGTCCCGTTTAGGTGTGAGGGAGACAGAGCGACGACTCTCGGAATCAGTCTGCAATGGGTGCTGCTTGTGGTAGGTAGACACGCTGCTTCTTAACACGGCAAACGAAAGGTCCCGGGGTGACTTAACACAACACGCCCCTTCCCCGTAACCCTGTGTTGCCCCAGCCCCGTGCACCCCGTTAGTCCCGGCTAACCTCGGCTCCGGCACTGTGGATGTGTTGCGCTGTGTTGCAGACGGGGGCTGACGCCAAGAAGCCGGCCAACAAGGAGGCTGCCGTGCAGCTGGCCACCGAGCTGCATAACGCAGGCATGTACCCGCTGCTCGTCGCTCTGTCTCTCTCGCACTTCAGGCACGGCCCCTAAGGGTGCGAGAGAGACAGACGTACGGAGCCCTGTTCAGAATCGAACTGCAGGAGAGGCGAGCCCGTCGCTACCCCTGGTCGAGCAGACGCCCTGCCTCGCGGGGTATCTTCGGAGCTCCCTGGTAATGGTTCAGTGTTCCCCGGGCCTTGAGAACGCCTCTGTTGTGGCAGCCGTGTTGAACCCCTACCCAAATGGCCCAGTTGCACTCCGCGTGTCGTGTGGATACAGTACCGCTTTTCGTTACCGGCGAGAACCACAGTAATGCCCACCCGGGTCGTTGCAGGCGAGGGCAAGCTGGGCACGGACGAGGAGGTGTTCAACCGCATCCTGGCGCACGAGAGCTTCGACCAGCTGAGGCTCATCTTCGAGGAGTACAAGAACGTGTCGGGCCGCACCATCCAGCAGGCCATCCGGGACGAGCTGGGGGGCGAGCTCAAGGAGGCCATCTCCACCATCGGTAACGACCAACCAAACCACACACCGTCAATTGAGGCTCCTCAAAAGTAATTTTTTTCTAATTCCTCTGGAATGTTGCATTTTGCAGTGGAGTGCGTCCAGAACCCGGCGGCCTTCTTCGCCGAGCGGCTGCACAAGGCCATCGCGGGCGCGGGCACGGACGACGAGACCCTCATCAGGATCATCGTGAGCCGCAGCGAGATCGACCTGGGCGACATCAAGCGCGAGTACGAGCGCCTGTACGAGAAGACGCTGGAGAGCGCCGTCAAGGTACAGTGTACTGCCGGACGCAGCGCGCGCCTCGAGGCGACGGAGTGAGTGACGCTCTACAGTGGTGCTCTTCTTGGTTTGCAGAATGAGTGCTCTGGCGACTACAAGCGCACGCTGCTCGCCCTCATCGGCGGACCCTGAGCCGCCCGAACCGCAGGGCGAAACACGAGAGCGGGTCTTCATTATTTATAGATTTTTATTTTACATGTATTTCTACAAAATTTAAATATAAATATGTATAAATAGGAATTGGTTTAGTTTGTTTTGCACACCCAGTGAAACGGGGAAGACTGGACGGACAGATGGCACTCGGATTGGCTGGGAGCGTGCGTCTGCGACGAGGCCTGCGACTCGAAGCGAACGCACCACGCGCCGCGTCGCGCTGCGGTGGGCAAAACGGAGGGTCATCCGCCCCTCGGCCGTCGCGGCGGGAGGCGGACAAGTCCTGGGGGGCCTTCTCGGCCTCGCCTGGCGTGCCGGTGTCACAGCGAGCAGCACACGCCCGCGTACCTGCGGACCGGAAACGGAACTCAGTGAAACGAACCGACGGAAAAAAGCGCTCCGCGTGAAACGGGCCGCCTCTTGACTCACGCTCCCAGCGGGCAGAAGTAGTCCCTGAAGACCATGAAGCTGGACGCCACGGCGTGCTGCACGCAGCTGGCCAGCGGCCTGCACGACCTGCCGGGGCACTGGTTGCTGGCGGCCGCCATGAGGCGCTGCAGGTCCTGCGGCGGCGGCAGCTCCAGGCTGAAGGACGACGGCCCCAGCCTGAGGCGCCCCGACGAGTCCGTGTGCTGCGACAGCCACGAGATGGCCGTCAGCGGCAGGCTCTGCGTCTGCGTCGCGTTGTCTGCAAGCAAGGGGTAGCGCTGCGTCAGTCGCCCGCTGGGCTGGGCATTCCCTAGATCCCCCGACGCGCGGGGTAGTTCCTCACCTGACTGTTGCGATAGCAAGAGCGGCTTGAAGCTGATGGGCACGTGTCCGGGACCAGGCCGCGTGAGCGGGACTGCGGGGATACAAAAACAAAATGTTATGAAACTTGACAGAACACGAGTGGGCGAAGCGAGTAAACAAACGGCGGGACTTACTCTCGCTGTACTTGTTGTTGCCGGCGAGGTTCTCCGCGTCCCGCTCCGCGCCGTCGGCGGGCACGGGCCGCAGCGGCGTCTCCTGGGTGCGCGAGGCGTCGCCCGCGGAGGGCTTGACCACCACCAGGGACGTGACCCTCGTCACGAAGCCGTACTGCAACACGGAGCAAGCCGTCAGTGATGGCGCGGGGACAGGGACTGCGTGCACACTGCCAGTGTACTACACCAGTGGTTCTCAACCTTAGGGTCGCGACCCCAAGCGGGGTCGCGAAATTTTTTTAAGGGGTCGCGGCGATGCTGGGGTCGTGTTTTAGGCCGATTTTAAGCAGCCACTGCGTCTGATCCGAGGCGGGCATTTTGCTCCCTCAACGGGCAATCGGTCTTTGGACCTTCCTTTAGCATGCCTTTGTTACGGAGTGCAATTATCAGTCTTAGTTTGGGAGCAGTATTGTCTCAAAGTTGGCCGAAACGCTCAGAAATGTCTATGAAAAATCGTGTTTTGGGCCGATTTTAAGCAGCCACTGCGTCTGATCCGAGGCGGGCATTTTGCTCCCTCAACGGGCAATTGGTCTTTGGACCTTCCTTTAGCATGCCTTTGTTACGGAGTGCGATTGTCAGTCTTAGTTTGGGAGCAGTATTGTCTCAAAGTCGATCAAAACGGTCGCAAGTGTCTTTGAAAAATCGTTGTGACTATTTTGGTCAACTTTGAGACAATACTGCTCCCAAACTATGACTGATAATCGCACTCCGTAACAAAGGCATGCTAAAGGAAGTCCAAAGACCAATTGCCCGTTGAGGGAGCAAAATGCCCGCCTCGGATCAGACGCAGTGGCTGCTTAAAATCGGCCCAAAACACGATTTTTCATAGACATTTCTGAGCGTTTCGGCCAACTTTGAGACAATACTGCTCTCAAACTAAGACTGATAATTGCACTCCGTAACAAAGGCATGCTAAAGGAAGGTCCAAAGACCAACTGCCCGTTGAGGGAGCAAAATGCCCGCCTCGGATCAGACGCTGTGGCTGCTTAAAATCAGCCCAAAACACGATTTTTCATAGACATTTCTGAGCGTTTTGGCCAACTTTGAGACAATACTGCTCTCAAACTAAGACTGATAATTGCACTCCGTAACAAAGGCATGCTAAAGGAAGGTCCAGAGACCAACTGCCCGTTGAGGGAGCAAAATGCCCGCCTCGGATCAGACGCTGTGGCTGCTTAAAATCAGCCCAAACACGATTTTTCATAGACATTTCTGAGCGTTTCGGCCAACTTTGAGACAATACTGCTCTCAAACTAAGACTGATAATTGCACTCCGTAACAAAGGCATGCTAAAGGAAGGTCCAAAGACCAACTGCCCGTTGAGGGAGCAAAATGCCCGCCTCGGATCAGACGCTGTGGCTGCTTAAAATCAGCCCAAACCGATTTTTCATAGACATTTCTGAGCGTTTTGGCCAACTTTGAGACAATACTGCTCCCAAACTAAGACTGATAATTGCACTCCGTACAAGGCATTAAAGGAAGGTCCAAAGACCAGTTGCCCGTTGAGGGAGCAAAATGCCCGCCTCGGATCAGACGCCGTGGCATGTTAAAGGAGGGGTCCCGTGGGGTCGCGAAATTTTTCCTGGGGGTCGCAGAAATTTTTGGCTTCAAATTTGGGGTCGCGAGCCGAGAAAGGTTGAGAACCGCTGTACTACACCACGAGTCTCACCTTGAGGGCGAGGTACAGGGCGCGGCGGCGGGGCTGGTCCAGGCCCGGTTCCATCTTGGGCACCTCGTCGAAGATGTCCTCCTCGTGCTTCATCAGGTCCACCTCGAGCAGCTGCTTGACGCTGAGGTAGGCCCACAGGCGCTCCAGGATGCCGACGGGGGGCTTGGCCTCGCCCTTCTTCTTGCCGGGCAGCGGCGGCGGCGTCAGCTCCACGGTCTGCGCCTTGGCGCGGAGCAGCCTCCTGCCGGGGGCGGCGCCGACGGCCGCGGACGCGCCGGGGGCGGCGCCCCACACCTCGACCTCCGCGTCGAGGCCCTTGACGCCGTCCGCGACCCTGCCGGCCACCACCAGCTCGCTGCCGCCGTACAGGATGGGGAAGCTGCGGCGCGTCACGGCCACGCCGTCGACCTGCGGGCGGACAGCACCGTTGACAGAAACCCTCGACAAAGCCGCCCTAGAAAACCACCTCACGTCGCCCTCACTGACCTTGGCCGTGACGTAGTTGAAGGTGACGTTGGCCAGCAGCGGGCTGGAGATCTCTTGGTAGAAGTCCTGCAGCTGCTGCGCCGCGTCGCCCGCCTCGTAGATGCGCCGCGCGAAGCCGTCGTTCTGCAGCGACAGCCGCTGCAGGAAGCGCCAGTTGCTCCTCGAGCCGAAGGACAAGCTGAAGATGGCGGCCTGCAACAGCGCGGGACGTTAGTTGCGACGCGTGAGGTGAGGCCGCCCGGCAGGGTAGGCAAAGCACGCTCCAGTACACCGCGGGTTGCCTACCGCCGCTAGCTCAGGCGCTCCAGGCCGCCCGGCAGGGTAGGCAAACCACGCTCCGGTGCACTGCGGGTTGCCTACAGCCTCCAGCTCAGGCGCTACAGGCCGCCCGGCGAATCATCCTCACCTTGATCTCGGCGTTCTGGGCGCGGGTCTGCGCCAGGACCCTGCCAAGCGACAGCGTGCCCACGGTGGGCAGCCCGTCCGTGAGGAAGACGATGAGGGGCTGCGGCCGGTCCGCCGAGCCCGCCCGGTACGTCGGCCACCTGTCGTAGTCGCGCTTGCCCGCCAGACGCACCGCGGACCGCAGCGCGCCTCCGATGTTGGTGCCTGCCGATGGAAATCATTTTTGCACCTTAAAATTCGTTCGGTTGGGATTAACTTGTTCGGCTGTGGAAAGAGCGCTCACCGCCAGACGCTTCCATGCTGTTGATGAACTTCTTGGCCTTGTTGATGTGGTCCTTGTTGGCGGGCAGCGTGGCCTCCTTGTCGCGCAGCCCGACCACCTCGAGCGTGTGCGGGGACCACTCCTGTAGCAGGGACGGCCACGGTGAAGGGGGAGCGTGACAAGGAAAATGAGACCAGCAGCGTTAACAATCTCCTACCGTGACGTGGCTGGAGAACTGCACGATGCTGAAGAAGTCGTCGGGATGCAGCGAGTCCAGGATGCGCGCCATGGCCGTCTGCAGCTGGCGCAGCTTGTGGCCCCACATGGAGCCGGACGTGTCCAGGACGAAGATGGCGTGCTTGCGCAGCGGCGGCACCTCGGGCGGCGCGAAGAAGTGCACGAAGTAGCCGTCCATCAGCTGCGGCAGGGTGCACAGTGTTGTCACCGTTTTGGCCGACTTTGCGGGAACACAGTTCCCGACGGGGAATCGCAGTCCAAGGGGTACCCAACTCAAGATAATCATTGCACGTCTAGTTGGTAATCAGTGAAATAATCAACATCATCCAATGAAATGACAATCATACTTTCGGGGATTCAATCACTTTTGACCATTTTTGCGAGACCACTGCTCCCAAACTATCAGCGGTCAAAGCCTTTCCGAGGCGGGGCATGAAAGAGTAGGGTCTTCAGAATAGTGAGGCGTCGAGGGAGGCCTTTGACCGCAACTAAATTGGATGCAGTGACCGCTCAAAGTCAGCAAAAGCGGTGATTTTCTGAAATTCATTCACTGTTTGACCATTTTTGCGAGACCACTGCTCCCAAACTATCAGCGGTCAAAGCCTTCCCGAGGCGGGGCATGAAAGAGTAGGGTCTTCAGAATAGTAAGGCGTCGAGGGAGGCCTTTGACCGCAACTAAATTGGATGCAGTGACCGCTCAAAGTCAGCAAAAACGGTGATTTTCTGAAATTCATTCACTGTTTGACCATTTTTGCGAGACCACTGCTCCCAAACTATCAGCGGTCAAAGCCTTCCCGAGGCGGGGCATGAAAGAGTAGGGTCTTCAGAATAGTAAGGCGTCGAGGAAGGCCTATGACCGCAACTAAATTTGACGCAGTGGCTGCCCAAAGTCAGCAATATTGAATTTCCGACACTTTAACAGCTTTCCGAAGTCGGCTCTCAAATAATCCCCAATATTTCCCAATAATCAACATAATAACCTCCTATAATCAGTGATAAATAATAAAATAATCAAAAGAAATCACATGTAATCATACTCTAAATATAATCAGTGTACATGAAAATCTTGAGTTGGTTACCCCTGTCGCACGCAGTCCGTGACAAAGGCATGCTCACCAGGAGGTCCCCGGAGGCAGAGGCGCTACGGTCCACGTCGTAGGTGACGGTGAGGGCGGGCAGGGCGTGTCCGCTGCGGGCTTGCACGGCCTGCACGGCCTGCATGGCGGCGACGGGGATGGGGGCCCTGGCGCGGTGCTGCGGCGCCGCCTGCCACAGCGACAACTGCTGCTCGCGGGCCGCCACCACCTGCACGTGGACCTGGTTGCCCTTGTCGCGGCGCACCGCCAGAGCGCCGGACGAGTAGTTCTGCAGACCTGGACGAACGGGGAGGACAGAGCGAGGACCGCGCGTTAGGGAAGCACTCTCCAGTGTGGGCACCCCGCTAAGAGAACAAGTGTCTGCCTGCGTCCCACCTTGCTGCGCCATGTCCCTCGAGTCCACCGAGTAGAGCTCCCGGCCGCCGGTGCAGACCGCCAGGCTGCTGAGGTTGCGGGACTCCAGGACGAACACGTCGACGCGCACCTCGTCCACCTCCTGGAAAGTGAATTATTTTAAAGTTTCCTCAAGGTTGCCATCTAAGTCGCCGTCTGTGGACCAGGGCCTTGTCCGCCGACAATGCAAACAGTGGCGTGGTGCGCCGGCCAGGTAGGCCACCCATCCGGCACACGCACGGCACGGCAAGGCCCCCTCTCCGCCCTGGCCGCCGCCCCGGCCGGCGCACCGCGCACTCACCTGGCCTGGGTCAATGCCGACGGTGTGGTGGTAGCGGCCGCGGCGCCGCCCCAGCAGCTCCTCGTACGTCAAGTTGACGGTCAGGGAGGAGCGCGCCGCCACCGTCACGAGCAGGGACATGATGGAGCTGTCGCGCGCGCTGCGGACCGGAGAAATGCGAAAGAACGCGTTTGATTAGCTTGGGTTAGGCCTCACGAGTATGCCGGCATGCACTGCCATGCCTTGCCACGCTTAGCAAGGATCTTGGCGCTCTTTTCGCGGCAGCAGCACAAAAACTAAAACAAAAGCAACAAAAGGGACCGAAGGGTTGTTGTTGTTTTACCTGGTCTGGCGGACCTGCGCCGCGGTCTGGCCGTTGAGGGCCGCCTGCTGGTACTCGCCGTCCGCCTTCGTGCGCTCTCGGACGTACGCTTTGTACACGTTGCCGCCGCTCTCGCTGCGAAAAAGGGACAAAGACAAAACGCCGTGAGACTCTGGCTCCAGCAAGGGCTCCGGCAAGGGCCCCGGCAGCCCGGTAGCGCGGCGTGGCGCGGCGTGGCGCGACAAGCGATTGTGATGCGAGCGTTGTAACGCGCGGGGCGGGGCGGGGCGGGGCGGGGCGCATCGGCGGGTTGGTTAACAACGCAAGGCGAGCCGATGGCCCATTAGGACGTCGCCTCCTGCGGGCTGATTCCGAGTGCTTCGTCGCTCTGTCCCCCTCGCACCCATGCGGGGCGCCGCGGGTGTGGGAGAGAGACAGAGCGACAATAGCGCGGTTCGGAATCAGCCTCCAGAGCGCCGACCCCGACCTAAGCCACGCCGAAAGGGCTAAAATTACACCAAACCTGAAATTACCTCCTTGCGCGGAGGAACAATGCCTTTTGAAAAAAAAAACTACGGCTTGGCGGCTGTGCGGGGAAAATAAAGGTATTTTTGGTCGGTAACTTACAGAGACAGGCCGGTGACGTAGGCGGTGTCGGGCAGGGTGAGCTGCAGCTGTACTTCTTGGGCGCGGCCGGCGGGGTTGTCCAGGGCGGCACGCACCGACGTGTGCGCGAAGCGGAGCTGCACCTCGGACCGCACGCGCAGCCACTTGATGGCCACGGGCTGCACCTGATAACACATGTACACTCCGGTGGGTGAGGGGTATAGACGCTGTCAATGGAGCAATGGTGGCAGGTTCGATTCCCCGCAAATCGTTTTTTTTTTTCGAGATTTTAAGATTAAGTGCCACACGTACACTTTGAATTTTTTCAGTGTAGGCGCGTGATTCGCCACGCAAACAGTGTCCTGCCTGAAGATGAACGTTTTCCTTTGATTTCCTTCATTTGCTCGCTTTGCAACCAAGCTCGCCGCGATGTCCGGCGACGGGCGGCACGTCGCCCCCTTCCCCCTCCCCCGCCAAGTTGCGTCACCGCCACCTGCACCTCTCTGCACTTTTGCATCACTTTGCCGCTTCGCTTGGCTTCGCTTGGCGCCTGGCTTCGCTTCCGAGCAGCTTGCATCCGGCAGGCCTCTCGTTTAGTCTCTCTCACGCTCCAGAGGCCAGAGGGCGTACCGCAGGGGTGCGAGGGAGACAGAGCGACGGAGTGTGAATCGCTCTGCCGGCGTGGGGGTCCGCGGCATTCCCGTGCGTGCTTTCTCTCCGCGTCGGCGGCACGGCGGCACGACGGGGACCTTGGCATTGGCAGTGAGGCACGCTGAGGCAGTGACACCCACGGCCCAGCTGATCGCGCCGCCTCTCTCCCCCTCTCTCTCCCGGGCTCGGCCGGCCCGCCCCGTTCTAGGTCACGCGTCAATCAGATTCAGAAATATTACGTTCTGGTTCCGTTGCCGCTTTTGCCCGCCGGGTCCTGAAGGTCCTGGACCACTGGCCGACGCAGGCCCGCTGCTCCGGACGGCGGCGCCCCCGTTGGGCCGATGGACCGATGGACCGCCTCGCCACTCAGCCCGACTCGACCCGGGTCGGTGATGCGATTTAAGTCCGTCTCGCCTTTCCACTGCTTTCCACGCGGCCCTGGCCCTGTCCTGCCCCGCCCCGCCCCGCCCTGCCCTGCCCTGCCCTGCCCTGCCCTGCCGGCACCGTTAGAGAGAGATACTGTATGTGGACCGATGTGGACCGACAGCCCACTTGACCCAGACTGGAAAAAATGGCGACTCGTCATCGGCCCCAAAAACCCGTGTGTTTGTGCGTGTGTGTCCGGAGCCGAGCCGAGCACGCCGACGAAGGGCGCAGCCGGGACACGCGGTGGCCGAGGCACGCCGCCGAGCCGAGCCGAGCGTGGCGGGCCAACTTGCGGTGTCCAAAATAACTCGAGTTTGGCCAAGCAATTTGAGCGGCGCTGTATGCACGGGGCTGCCCAGGTTGTCGGCCAGGTTGTTGGCTCCGAGGTTGGCTCTGTCCTTTCCTTCCTTTCTTTCCCTACTTGGCGGCTCAGTCCGGCCGGGCGTGAGCCGGGCACCCTGACAGACTCATTCCGAGCGGGGGATGCCGTCGGCCTGTCTCTCTCGCACCCTCACGGGGCGCCCCGCGAGTGCGACAGAGACAGGGGGAGCCCCCGCTCGGGATGAGTCTGGCGGTGCCCGCGGTGCCGTTACAGTGCCACGGCCTCGACTCATCCTTTTTAAGAGGTCCCGACGCGACGGGGCGCGCCAAGGGCCCCAAAGGGCCGGACTGAATTAAAACTGAAGTCGGCCGGGCAACCCCGGCCGCCCTTTCTCCGCCAATCCAGTGCGCGCCCAGCAAAGCCAGGCCGGCCGGGGCGGCGGGGCGGCGCGCCGCACTGCCAGGGCTGGCAGCCGGCTAACGGGCTGCGGTGCGGCTGAGGTGTGACTGCAAAGTGTAAAAGACCTCGTAAAAATGAACTCCAGTGGGGTCGGCGCGCCTTCGGACGTTCAGCAGGGAGCACCCCGCCCCGCCCCGCCACGCGTCGTGGGCTGTAAAAGGGAAGAGGGCCGTCCGGGCGCAGGCCGCAGGGCACCGCAGGGCACCAGGACGCATCCTTGACATGGTTTTCACTGGTTTTCACCGTCCACACCTTTCGCCTGCAGCACAGAGCACGACGTGGCAAACGACGGCCGCCGGCGGGGCTTGAACCCGCGACCCGCGCGCGCGCGCCTCTCGTGGCGACGACCGCTGTCTGTCATCAGCGCTGAGGCAACGCCGGTCATCGGCCGTTGACAGTTGTCACAGCGCAGCCGGCCCGCGCCGCGCCGTGCCGCCGGGTCCAGTTGTCCTGTTGGTTCTGTTGTACCGGTTCTGCCCCGGCTGCAGGCTGCAGGCCTCAGGCTGGATCCGCAGGCCTCTGGCGGCAGAGGCCTGCCTGCGCCGTGCTGCAGCAGTGGCCAGCAGCCCCTGATCCCCTTGATGACTCAATGTCGCTCCGGAACCACCGCTGCGTTTCAGGCCACGTATTTCCACAGGTTCCACAGACGGCGCGCGCCTTGAGTCCTCAGCCGTTGCGTGGAATCCGGATCGAGCCCAGGCGGCGGGCGTGATGGTTTAAGCCCGCCTCGCGCACCGGGCCGGGTGCGCCTTGAAGCGCTTTGACCGAGGCTTTGACGCATCGGCCCAGAGGCCAAGGGGGCTGGCTGTTCCCGAGCAGTGTCGCGTCGCTCTGTCTCTCTCGCACCCGTCAGCCGAGCGTACGCGACGCCGCATGAGCGAGTGCCAGAGAGAGGGACAGAGAAAGCACGGTTCGGACTCGTCCCGCGGCTAGGTCGGCCATTCAGCCGGGGCGCTTTGACTGAGTCTTAAAGGCGGCGGTAACGTGCGAATGTCTCCCCGCGGCACGAAGTGTCACGAAGTGGCGCGCGCGTGCGTGCGAGAGAGACAGAGCGAGCCGCGCGAGCTGCGCGAAGCGTGCCCACAGCGGGACTACTTTCGGTGCGACCAGCCCCGCGCCATTCCAGAGTTATCATTCACACACGGGCACCACTCACACACACAGAGCGCGCAGACAACTCCGCCGTGTCCGCACATTTGCTTATAGCTGTGACACGGAAACTGAGGCGAGAGAAAGAGAGAGACAGTTAGTTGTCCCAGACAGAGGGCGCGCGGCGCGCGGCCCCGCAGAGCAGCGCGAACTCATCACCAGCACCACGTGCTGCGAATTGCTGACCTCCTTCCTCGGCGACGACGCCTCCCTCGCGGCTGCCCCGCTGCGCGGCCAGGTCGCCGGGCTGCCTACCCGGCCCACGGCAGGCGCTTCGCTGCGGAGCGAGAGACACTCCGGAGCGCCGCCCAGACGCGATAAAAATTTCGCTGTCCTCCCAGTGGACGGCCACCGGGAATTTACAACTCGGCGTTAAATCCGGGCGGAGCGCCATAAATTTTAAGGGAATCCTTTTTTTCGGGGCAGTGTCGCCTCGCCTCGCCGCCGCGCGGGTAGGCAGCAGGCTGCGGTGAGGACGTCGTTAAGGCCCCTACCGTGTGGATGGCGCCCAATGGCCGCCAAATGGCCCCACGACCACGCAGTGCCACACAGTGCCACGCGGTGCACGCACTGTGAGAGTGAAGGGAAATTGACAGCTGGTGCTCTCTCCCTCTCTCCCGTGGCCCCATTCGTGCAAGTCTCCGAGCCAGGACGCACTGCTCACGCGGCCGTCGGCGAGGCCAGCGCCTCGGGGGGTCAAACCCCAAAGCAGCCCGACGAGGGTTCAAACCGGGGGGCTGGAGGGGCGGGAGTCGTGATCCTCCTAAGCCGTGACCGCGACCCTCCACTCCACGCGCGACATTTCCCCATCTAGCCTCGTTCGGGCGCGGGCCCAAACCGATCCACACTGGAACGAACGTGACACAATATTCAGAGACACGTGACACGATTGACGTCACATTCCTGGATTCCCAGGCCCGCTTGCATTCCTGGGCCACACCGACGTGGCCGCGGGCACGGCCCGGGGCACGCAGCATGCCAGCCTGATGCCTCGCTTGACGTGCAGCGCGCTGCTGCAGGGCTGCAGGGCCGATTGAGAACTAATAGTCGCGTCGCTATAAAATAAACCACAATGAACGACCGGGTCTTTGAACCCGCGCGCTGCCCGGCACTCGCTGCCCCTCCCCTGGCCGCCGTGCACGCCGTGCCGGCCATGGTCGTGGCGGCGCAGCGCGGCTTCCTTGGCGCGACCGGGCCGCTTGGCGTGGCTCCGCGGTGCTCCGTGGCCAGGCGCTTCTCGGTAGCATTACGGCCCTACCTATGCAGCGCACTGCAGTGCCTTGCAGTGCCTTGCAGTGCCTTGCAGTGCAGTGGGGTCAAGGATGAGGGCGTGGCGGGGGGCGGCCAGGACCGCCAAGCCCCCGCGACGGTGACCGCACTGCCACTGCACTGCGCGCCCACCCAGCACGACAGCGCGCCCTCCGCGACGGGGGCGCCTACGAGGATGGCCCCGTGACCTCACCAGCAGACAGCAGGCCCAGCCTCCTCCATGCTTGCGTTCATGCTGCCCTCAACTGTCACCCACCCTTTCCTAACTCATTTTTTTTCGGATCTAAGCCCGCTATTAAAAGACGGAAGAGATTAAGTAGAAGAGGGCGCGCGTGTGTGTGTCTCGGTGTGCGTTGCGGGGCGCGGAGCAGAGTATGATGGATGGAAAGTGGGGACCACCTCGCGCTCGTGCCGCTCGTGCGAGGCCGCGTGCCGTAACCATCTTGTCGGACAACCCGCGAATAATATTGTCGTGCAGGACTGCCCGGTGGACGCGGCCGGACCGCCTCAAATAATTAATGGCGCCGAAACGGGGACGGACCGGACGGGTCGCGGGGCCGGAAGTGGAACAAACGCACACAGACGCACTCACTCACACACACAGACAGACGCGCACACACGCGCGCGCGCGCTTTTTCCGTGTTGCAGAGGGAATTAACGGAACCTGACACCGACGACGTTTGCACAAGGTGCATTCACCTTCCCAGGTTGCATCAAATTAATAAGCAAAAAGGACCGCCCCGCCCAAGGCAGGCCCATAGGCAGCCCTAGGGCCTGACTCTGACAGCCTCCGATGCCCCCTACCCTTCCCCTCCCCTCGTCCGGCCCTCCGTGCAGGCTTTCTGCTCACAGCAACTTCCATTGTTGGCTCGACTTGGAAACCGGTATGCCCTGGCAGGCCCAGGCCAGTGGCAGCCAGTGGCAGGCCCAGACCGTCTGGACCGCGGCCCGGACCGGATAGAGGCGAAGACCGGGCCGATCATGCTCGCAGCATGCACGCATCGTGCACGCAGCGTGCGGCCGAGCTGATGAAAATGACAATCACTCGACGGGCAGCCGGGCCGGTCGGTCGGGCCGGTGCAGCGCCGTCTCTCTCTTCCTCTCCTCCCAAATTCAATTTTAATTCCTCACGTCACATAACGCAAAAAAAAATCCAAGATATTCAATTAATTACGCGATTCTTTTGGTCGGATCGAGGGCCGTAAATGCGAACACTAATGTCCGCCTCGCTCGTCTTGGTCGTTTTGGCGCGGCGGCGAGGACTGCCTCGACTCAAGGCGTGTGACGCAGGGCTGCTCGCTCCTATTCCGCGCACGCACGCACACACACGTACACAGTCAGTCGAGTGCATCGATTCCCTTTCCCACGTCGCTTTCAGAGGGGATTTGCTGCAAACATCGCTCGCTAGCCAGATGAGAAAACAACGACACGAACCCCTCTTGGCGGCACACACACACACACACACACACACACACACACACACACACACACACACACACACACACACACACACACACACGCAGCGTGCGTTTAGCGCTCATTAAGCTCACGATGCTGCTTTTAGATGCAATTTCTCAAAAACGGGAGGAAAGAGCGGCCATGCATCTGCCTCCTCAACGCCTTTCTCAGAAAATCGAGCGTGTTTTGTTAGCAAAGTAAGGATGAAAAAAATAAGCTCTGCCTTACCTCGGCTTCGGAGTCCTCAGGAGCTGCGACTGCGGGAGCAGCTGTGGTTGCCTCCTCTGGTTTGTTGGCCTGTTCGTCGTCTGGTTTGTTGGCCTGTTCGTCCTCTGGTTTGTTGGCCTGTTCGTCCTCTGGTTTGTTGGCCTGTTCGTCCTCTGGTTTGCTGGCCTGCTCGTCCTCTGGTTTGCTGGTCTGTTCTTCCTCTGGTTTGTTGGCCTGTTCGTCGTCTGGTTTGTTGTCTGGCTCAGCGACGGAGGCGCCTGTAGTGGTTTCCTCTCCGATTTCGTTGACAGTGGTGGGCAGGGTCGTGGTCTTCTCGGCCTCCACGGGCAAGGTGGTGGGGCTCGCCTCCACTGGCTTCACCTGCTCCGCGCTCGTCTCCTCCGAACTGTTGTTCTGCTGCTCCTCGCTGCCGCTGTGGCTGGCCTGGTCCTGGCCGCTGCTCTGCTGCTCGACGCTCTCGTTGGCCTCCTCCGAGCTGGCGCTGGCCTCATTGGTGGCGATGGCGCTCGGGGGCTGTTCAGTTTGCTGCTCAGTGGGCGCGGAAGCAGGTTGGACCGTGGTGGCTTCCTTCAGGGCTTCGCTGGTGGTCGTTTCCGGCGCAACTTCGGGCTGCTGCTCGCTCTTGTCGTCGTCCTCGAGGCTGTTGTCCACCTCCTCCAGGATGGCGTTCACCTCCTCCTCCGTCTCCGGCCTGCTCTGCGGGTGGTCCGGGTCCTCGGGCACGAGGAAGGGCTCTCCGGGGCTCTTGGTGTCGTCAGCGCTCTGCTGCGCCACGGTGACGGCCTCGGTGAGGGCCTCCGTCGCGTCGGCCAGCTCTGGCGCGGGCGTCGGCGTGGCCGCGGGCAGCTCGTTGTTGATGGCGGCGATGAGGCTGCTGGCCTCGTCCACGTCCGCCACGGCGGGCAGCACGGCGGGCAGGGTGGGCAGCGCGCCGGGCTCGAACACGGCCTCGGGGGGCGGCAGCGTGGCGCTGGGCGACAGCGCCGAGTTGAAGCTCTCCAGGGCGTCCGCGTCAGAGTCCTGCAGTGCCTGAGGCGGCGCCGAGGTTGGCGGGGGCGCGTAGTCCGTTGTGGGCGCGGCCTGCGCGGCCTGCTGTTGCTGGGCCAGACCCTCAGCACTTTCTACAATCGCCGCGGTCGTGCTGTCCTGATCGTCCTGGCCGTCGTCGGCCTGGCCGGCCGCCAACTCGAGCGATGCCAAGGACTCTGGCACTTGCGCCGAAGTGGCCGCAGAGTCCAGCGAGGGCGAGAGGGTGGTCGGCGGGCCGCCTCCAGCGTCCATTTCGGTTGCCAATGTCTCGGTCGAGTCCTTCACCTCGTCTTGCGTCGCGTCCTGGGGCACTTCTTGGAGAGTCTGCTGGATGTCCTGAGTCGCGTCCTGGGACAAGATCTGTGGCGCCTCTGGCAGGGTGCTTTGTGGGACACTCTGAGGCACGTCCTGCGGTTGTTCTTGTACGTCTTGTGGCACGTCCTGAGGCACGTTCTGGGGCACGTCATCGACGTTGTCCTCAATCGTCTGGGATGTGCTCTGTTCAATAGCGTCCTGGGTCGGTGACTGTTGGACGATGATTTCGGGCACGTCAACGAGGGCCTCTTGGGGCACGTCATTGGAAAAATTGTCACCCTGTACAGGAGCCTGCGCGTCGTTTTCAGGCGCGTCAGTGCCAGAGTTTGGCGTTTCAGTCGCGATCTGGGGCGCGTCAGTACCAGTGTTTGGCGTTTCAGTCGCGATCTGGGGCACGTCAGTAACGGCGTCCTGGGTGGTGTCCTGGACTTCCGGCGCGATGGCGTCAAGTACGTCAGCGAGGACGCTCTGCGTGGGTTGCTCGACAATAATCTCAGGCACATCAATAGGGGTCGCGGGAACGTCGTTGTCTACTGTCTGGGGTGCGTCGGTGGGAGTTGCTTGAACTGGCGCCTCTGGCACGTCCTGGGGCACGTCCTGGGGTGTGTCCTGGGCTACGTCCTGGGGTACTTCCTGGGGCACGTCCTGCGGTGTGTTCTGGGGTACTTCCTGGGTGATGTCCTTGGGCACGTCTTGGGGCACGTCTTGGGGCACGTCCTGAGGGGCGTCCTGGGGCACGGAGGGGGCCTCGGTGGGCACGTCAAGTTGGGTGTCGCTGGTCACGTCGTGGCTCGCGCTTTGGCCGTCTGCGAGCGCGTCGAAGGGAACGTCCGTGGTCGCGGCGCTATCTCGGGGCACGTCGGTGGCCACTTCACTCTGCACGTCGGCGGCCACGTCCTGGGTGGCGCCGGAAGGCTCGGTGGTCTGCACGTCAAGTATTGTGTCTTGCTGGAGGTCCTGAACGACCGTCTGTTGCATTGCCTGCTGAATGTCTTCAATTGCCTGCTGAGTTACCTCTTCCTGGACGTCCTGAGTTTGCGGTTGTTCCACATTGGGAATTTCTGGAAGAGAACCAAGAACGGCTTCGTCCTGTGCAACCTCTTGAACGAGCTCTTGCTGAGCGGCCTCAGTCGTCACGTCATGAACAGTCTCTTGCTGAGCATCGGCCTGAACAACTTCCTGCGGGCTATCCTGGATAGCTTCCGGATGGACATTCTGAACAGCCTCCTGCTGGACATCTTGGCTCACAATGGCGTCAACGGCGGGGATCTTGTTCAGCGCGTCGAGGCTGGCCTCCGTGGGCGTTTCGTCGTCCTGGGGCGGGGCGATGGTGGTCTGCTGCTCCAGCGCAACCGGAGCCCCGGTGCTTTCTATCTCGGATGGCGGCAGGGCGGGAACGTCATCCAGGGGGTCTTGCAGGAGTGCCCCGCTGGCTGGGGGTGCCGCCGTGTCCACCTCGTGCACCTCGACTGTGTTGGCGGGGCCGACCGCGCCGGCCAGAACGGCGTCCGAAACGACGGCCTGCTCCTCCACCACGGGGGACAGGTCCAGGTTGATCTGGGCGGCCTGCGTGTGCAACTGCTGCTGCTGCGTCGGCGGCGTCGCCACCTCCGCCTCCGCGGCGTCGTTGGCGGAGTCCAGAGCGTCGCTGGCGCCGCCGCTCAGCTCGTTGTTGACGGCGGCGATGGCGTCGGAGACGACCTCGTCGACGGTGGCCGGCGCGGCCGGGGCCACGAAGGGGGCCTCGTCGGCCGAGGGCGGGGCGTCGGGCTGGAGCTCGGCGTTGAGGGCCGCCACGGCGGGCTGCAGGGCGGGCAGAACGACCTGCGGGGCGGCGGGGTCGGCGGGGTCGAGCGGTGTCGCCACGGGGGTCAGGCTGGTCAAGCTTCCTGATTCCGATGTCACATGCTGCACCGGCTCGGCCGCCTCCGCCGCGGCCGCCAGGACCGGACCGCCCAGCCCTGCCTCAATTGCCTCAGCCGAAACTTGCTGTTCCACATCCGAGCTGGACTCACTGACCTGCGGCCAAGCCTGCGGCCGCGGCGCCGCCTCGTCCAGGGAGATGGCGTTGCTGGCGTCGGGGAGCGACACCAGGGAGTCCGCGGGGGGAATCCCCTCGAGCGCTGCTGGAAGCTCCGGTGGCGGTGTGGGGAGGGCCGGACTGTCAGCCGACTGGTCACTCGGAACGGCGTCCTGGACGGGCTGCGGTCCTGCGAGATCCTGCGACGCGTTTGGCAGCGTAGGTGCGTCCGGCTCGACCTGTTCGGACTGTGCTTGTTCCACCTGAGATTCCTGAATGAGCTCCTTGGCCGGCTCTTGCACAGGCTCCTGCAATGGTTCCTCCTTCACGGATTCGTTCACTGGCTTGTCAACTGGTTCCTGAAGAGTGTGCTGCACTGACTCCAATATTTGCGCAGTCTCCAGGTGGATTTTCTCCTGTTGAGGCTCCTGTGTGTCGTCCTGCTGGGACACCTGAGCGACCTCCTGCGGTCTTTGCTCTGACTCGAGCTGATTCTCTGCGACAGGCACTAGGGCCGGCTCCTCCTGCACGGTGCCCTGCACTGGCTCCTGGACGGACTCCTGCACTGGCACCTGCAGAGGCTCTTGAACTGGCTCCTGCTGCACGGCCAGCACCACGTCGTTGACGGTCTTGTCCATGCTGGCGGCACTCTCGTCCTGCTGCGCACTCACCAGCGTGGTGGTGTCGGGGCTGGGGATGGCCTCCAGGACCTGGACGGCCTTGTCCTTGTCGTCGTCGTGCTGCTCCCAGGCCGAGCTCACGGCCAGCTCGTTGATGTCGCTGGGGGCGGCAGCCAGGTTGGCCGTGGCGGCGGCGGGGGCGGACGCGGGGATGGCCTCGGGGGCTGCCTCGGGGGCGGACCCGGGGGCGGAGCCGGGGGCGGAGCCGAGGGGCACGACGGCGAGGTCGGCCAGCGGCGCAGTGTGCGGCCCGCGGGGACTGTCCTCGTTGGAGCGCAGGATGCTCTTGAGGCCCTCCACCACGGAGTGCACGGCCGAGTCGACCGGCCGCGACTCATCCACCACCTGCGACACGCACACACCAACACTCAGTCAGAATTAATTCTTTCAAAATCTTCAGAACACACTGGCACTGCAGATCGAACCGAAAAATAAAACTCAGCGATAACTAAGCTTTCGGTACGAAACATTTTTTCTGACCCCTCAAAGTTTGATGATGTGCTCACCTGCGCTGAGGAGGCTGCCGTTGACTCCGGGGGCATGCTGACGACCCACACGTCCATGGGGCCGGCGGGGTGCGCCGGCGCGGCCCAGGCCGGCACCAAGGCCGCCACCAGCAGCAGCGCCAGCGGGGCTGACGGGCACATCGCGGGCCGGTCCCTAGGCGGTCCCAAGGCGGGGCGCTGTCCGCGGCGCAGTGGGTCCGCGACACTCACTCCGCGCCTAGACGCGGCTGCACGGCGTCCTGGAGCGCCTGGAGCGCCTGGAGCTCTGGGGCCGAAGTCTTGATGCGACCCTCTTCCTCCCCGTGCGCTGCCCACACTGAACGCCGCGACGCCGCGGCCCGTCCGCGCCGACTCTGGTGTCTGGTGGCAACGCACGGTCCTGCCCGCCCCGCCCTGGCCCCCGCGCCCTGGCCCCCGCGCCCTGCGCCCCGTCCGTACCTAGCCTGTACGGGTTGCCGGCTACCCCCTCCAGGCCGTCCAGGCCGTCCTGGCCCCTCCAGGACGGATGCTGCCTGCTGCAGTGAAACGACAGGTGCCTCACCTGAACCCGAGGTGCGCTCCGGCTCCCCGCCGTGGACCCGTCCCCGGGCCGGGGAAGTTATTCGCGGGGGGCGTGGGGGGAAGCCAGCTGCACGCAAAAGAAGACCCCACCCTTCCCACCTCAGGCGCTCCCTGGGGCCTGGGCTAGCCTGGGCTTGGGGCACAGCAGACTGATTCCCCACAGTCCTTCCGTCTCTCTCGCACCCCTTCGGCCCAGGGGACGCCCCATGGAGTGTGAGAGAGACAGCGGCGAAGAAAGCGCCGTTCGGAAACAGTCTGCAGAGTCGCTCTCTGTGGGCTGGGACCTGGGACCTCCCTCCTCTTACTCGATTACCAGCCGAAAGCAACCCGATGTCCCTGGGGCCGGAAGCGCGAGGATCGGAAGGGACAGATTATGGCGGCCGCAGGAGCAGCTTGGCAGCCGGGCTGCAATCCCGACTCTTCCGCTTTTCGAAAAGTCTTGAAAGGGAAGGGCCGGCACACCAACCAACGCCCAACAAGCGCAGAAATGTCACTCAGGTGTTCTCAGCCGCCTGAGTCCGAAGGATCGTTTTCTATCTATCTATCTCTGGCAGCTCTACGAGACACCTCATGAGTGTGTAAAGGGTGGGGCGACGAAAAGATCCCTCACCCGGATCAGGCGGCAGTTGGGTTTCGTACCACTGGAAAGTCTGGTCTCGTTCTGGTGGAATTATGTTAGCGCCTGTAAGGCGGCAGCACGCACGACGGAGTGAATTTCTCATACTCTGAGCGGCTAGTCCGGGCTAGTCTCGCTACGCGCCGTACGAATGTGAATGTGAACCCGAGTCTCGCATTCCGTCTGCTTGGAGAACTGTCAAATCGAATCGTCTGCAAGGAGAAAGATAATCTGAGGTGTGCCGCTAGTATGGTTTTGGCACTCGTTTTCTTCAAAATGAGTCAGTGGCTGTTGGCTTCGAATCTTCCCCGGGTCGAGCATTAAGGAGGTGGGTCATTGGTCGCGCCATTTCCTTGACTCAGTCGTGTTTCCTTGCAAACAGGAACGTAACCTGACGTCTCGCGGCGGTTGTCAAGCAAGAAACGAAACCTTGTTTCTGGCAAGGTCTTGTCATATGCTGGAGTTTTCGCTTCAGCTCTGTGTTATGTTGCTCACTAGTGAAACTTTTTTCAGTGACCTACACTGTTCAAAATCTAATAGTTGCGTTAATGTAGTGAATTCGAGTGAATGAGACCAGTAAAGTTTCTTGTTATGCATTCTGTTATTTTGTTTCACTAGTTTTATAATAAAATGATCCTCTTTTTGTCTTGACAGGAGTCTTTCTCTAACGCAGAACAGATAATGACATCTACGACTAACACTACAATGGAGAAAAATACAAAGCCGGTGAAGAAAGAGTCAGTGCAGGTTGTAGTGAGATGTCGGCCCATGAATGACAGGGAAACGCGAGAAGGTCATGAAAGGGTTGTTGATATGTTTCCAACAAGAGGTGTTGTGGAGATCCGAAACCCAAGAGAGGAATCTCGGGAAAGTATCAAAACCTTCACATTTGATGCAGTCTATGATTGGACCTCAAAGCAACAGGATTTATATGATGAAACAATCAGGCCTTTAGTATCGTCAGTCCTGGACGGATTCAATGGCACAATATTTGCATATGGTCAGACAGGCACTGGGAAGACTTATACCATGGAAGGTTGCAAATCCGAACCTGATTCAAAAGGCATTATCCCAAAATCATTTGATCAAATTTTCAGCCACATTGCTCGACAAGTCAACATGCAGTACCTTGTACGAGCCTCATATTTAGAAATCTATCAAGAAGAAATAAGAGACCTTTTGGACAGAGATCAGAATAAAAGACACGACCTCCGTGAAAAGCCTGATACTGGCGTGTATGTGAAAGACTTACAGTCGTTTGTATGCAAAAGTGTGAAAGAAATCGAGCAGGTATTGTACATATCTTGTCTTTGATTTGTGTTCTTCCATTAATGTTTTAATAACATCCTGATACACTCTATTTTACAGGTGATGACCGTTGGAAATCAAAACAGAACCATAGGAGCAACAAATATGAATGAACATAGCTCACGCTCTCATGCCATATTTATGATAACAATTGAAATGAGCCAGACCTCAGAGGATGGCAAAAATCAAATTCGTGTTGGCAAACTAAACCTTGTAGATTTAGCTGGGAGTGAACGACAGAGCAAAACTGGGGCTTCCGGAGAACGTTTAAAAGAAGCCAGCAAAATAAATTTGTCACTTTCAGCTTTGGGTAAGATAAGAAACTTTTAATCTCCGTTCTTCTAAATTAAATTTCATTTCTTATTCATGTTTTATTGAATATTTTTAACCTCTTAGGTAATGTTATATCTGCTTTGGTTGATGGGAAGAGCCAACATGTACCTTACCGAGATTCCAAATTAACTCGTCTCTTGCAAGATTCCCTTGGTGGTAACTCCAAAACTATTATGGTTGCTAACATAGGTCCAGCCAGTTACAATTATGATGAAAGTTTGACAACTTTGAGATATGCCAATAGAGCTAAGAATATTAAAAACAAACCAAGAGTTAATGAAGATCCTAAAGATGCTTTGCTTAGACAGTATCAAGAGGAAATAGCAAAGCTAAAGAATATTCTCGCTGAACGTGCTGCTCAAAGAAGTCAAACTCTATCTGGCAAAAAGAAAAAGAAAAAGAAGAAGGATAAAGATGCAGATGATTCAGAGGGATCAGATGAAGAATCCTCCAGAACTGAGGAAGATTTATTGAAAGCACAAGAAGCTCAACTTGATCAGAAGAAAGAAAAAATTCTCAGTAACAAAAATGCCATATCTGAAGAGGAAAAGGCTCGTTTACTAAAAGAGCTTGATGATAAGAGAGCTTTACTGGCCCAAGAAAAAGCCTATGCCGAACAGCTTGCAACTAAAATTAAATCGATGGAAAGTAAACTTCTGTGTGGAGGCAAAAATATAATTGATCATACAAATGAACAGCAAAGAGCTTTAGAGCAGCAAAGAGCAGAAATTGTGGAGAGGAAGAGGAGGGAAATTGAAATGAAGCAGAAGTTAGATGCTCAGGAAGAAGAGGCCATGGAAATAAGGGAGACTTACACCAATCTTCAACAAGAAGTAGAAATAAAAACAAAAAAACTGAAAAAGATGTTTGCAAAATTACAGCTAGTGAAACAGGTAGGGACTTGCAGTTTTATTCGTCCAGTTTATATATTTAATGTAACTATGATATAAAAGCTCCTTTTTATTCTATTCCAGGAAATTCAAGATGTTACTGAAGAATTCAACAGAGACAGGCGAGAACTTGAAGCAACCAGGAATGAGCTATTGAAGGACCTTAAACTTCAATATCTCATAATTGACAATTTCATTCCTCCTGAAGAAAAGGAACGCTTGATTGCTCGCTCTAGATATGATGATGAAGAGGATTGTTGGAAATCAGACCCACCTCCAGCAGAACAGGTTTGATCCTAAACAATTTTTCTCTTTTTCTGAACTTTTTTTTCTTCAAGTTTTTATTTACACTGAATCTTCTCCTTTCAGTTGCCGCTATTTAGAAGACCAGTGTCAGTTGCTGGCATGAGACGTCCTATATCTGAGTATGCACGTGTTGCCAGTAAAGTCGGTGTGAGCCATCGATTTTGTGGTGAAAATATCATTCGCCTTGAACTAGACCCACACCCACGAACCACAGACGATTACACAGGACCAGCTGTTGCACCAGGAATTATGTCTGTTCTTGAAGCTGCACTGAAGAAGGAGGATGACTTGGATGTCGATGCCTCTGCCGCCGGGCGCCACTTCCGCATTCGCTCAGGACGGCCCCTCCCACCTTCCATGGCGTTAAACACAGGCATCCCTATTTCGGCAGTGTCCAAAAGTGCCATTTCGGGCACTGCATCAGTCGGTAATAAGAAAGTTGTGTATCCCAAAGCTCGTGGACTCGTACCAAAGTAGAAAAATTATTGTATTTTAAGGTAAACTAGATTTTTCTTTGTGATAATGTCATAGCAATTTCACCAGCTTGATCAATGTGTAACTTGTGCTTGGTGCCATTTTAAAAATACAAACAATAACTTGTTGTAAAATCTTTTGGAGGAATGTTTGAGAGGTGCTACCATTGTATGACAACAATGGACTGATTTTATGTGGTTGATGGGTATGATGCAGAAGACAATAGTAGTTAATATCATCTTCACCAATTACTGCAGAGATGTTTCAAAGTAGTTAAAATTGTTCTTTACCTGTTTTATACCTGTGCTAAGTAGCTCATCAAGCTTTTTTAATACTTGTTTGGAGCCACACTACTGTTCGAATACATTTCAAAATTCTGATCACACTTTTAATAGTAACATAAAAGCTGACCTTTATGTATTCTCGTTTTCAAATTTTGAGGATATATTTTTTATTTAAATTAGAGTAGCTTTCTTAAATTTTTTGAGACTGTTGTTTGTCAAGCATTCCTTTTCTAATGTTCTGCTGTGTAGATATCAGCTTTATTTTATCATGATCACCATTTGTGGTTTTTTATTTAAACTTTACAAAGCTTGTGCCATACATGCTTGTGCCTCATGCTCAAGTGAGTGCTCAAGAACTTACTTTGAGTAAGTGTTCAGTATTACATTCCCATACACCCTTTGTGGTCCTGGTTTAACATTTTGGCTTCTTTTGAAGCCAATTGTAAATCCTGCACTTAGGACAATGAGTTCACACTTTCACACCATGTTCCCTCTATTTTCTGGATTCATTGCTTGTACTGTTAGCCTATCATGTTCTAATGAGCTTCTACTCTCTCAATTGCTTTTGTTCTGTGATTTAGAAAATTTATTGATTTCATTGTACTTTTAAGTTTTTAGTATGTAATGGGCTCTTTGTTACTAAGACTTGAGTGTACATTGCTATGTTAATGCATGTGCCACATCTTCTAGTCGAATGAAAAAGTGAAACTGTATTTGTGCTGTACACCTTGATGTTGCCTTGTTCATAGAACTGAAGTTTGACTTAGGAGCAAGCTCACTCTGCACTGGCCCTTTAAGTGGAGGTGACTTGGCACTCATGTACTGTATTTTTGCAAAATTTTTAAGCTGTAAGGTTGCTGTGATCAAACACTCTGGTTCTGATTACCAGTGCACATCTAAATAAAATGTTTAAATACATTTGTTTTGTGTCTCATTTCCCTTTATTTGAGTGTGGGAAGGTTGGAAGGGTTGAGTTCACTACCAAAAGTTGCATTAAGGCAGTTTATTTATAAACAAGAGGTCATATTTGCACTATGGCCCTGGTGTACTCTTAACACAATAATTTCAGTCTGTTGCTTGTAAGGAAAGATCCAGGGGACCAGCAGTGACTTGTGCGGTAACATTTCATAATTAAGTTGGCTTTCCTGAATCAATTTTACGACTGGAAAATTTAGTTGAATAATACTGGAAACGATAACAACACGTACAGAGTAAAAAATTGACATTATAATTTGACATGTATTGGAAAATCTACCCAATCCCCTCACAAGTTACCTATAACAGAGCACTTATAGAAATTCCACATGAAATGAAACGGTCAACTATGAGAAAAGTCCACTGTAAGGTGCCAGCACCAAACTTGAATTCTTAACTTGGTGCCAAATTTCATTTGCTAAAATGGAACATGAATGGTTCGAAATGAACCTTGGAAATGATGTTAAAAGTACACAATGAAAGGAAGAAAAGTAAAAACTATAAATGCATTTTTGCATTATGAACAAAAATGATCCCCACAATTTCAGTATTTCAGATAGTGAAAATTTAAGTTTGATAATATCTCAAAGTTGCATCTTGAAACAAGATAACGTTAGTACAAATACAAACAAATGAGACTGGATCCGTCTTCAAAATATACCAACTCTGTGGAAGTAAATGTAGGCACTTTGTCTGAACACATTACGTATTTAACTTACACATGACCTCAAAGTTAGTGCGGAAGGGAGAAAACAGAAAACAGCATTTTTACACTGGAATCATACAAAATTCAGCCTCAAACAAAGGGCGAATAATCATTTAAATATATATAAGTTATGAAGTATATAAAAAGTTACAAAAGAAGACTATTGAGCCCTAATTGGTATGTATTTTCTACAGGTGTCTCAAGTGAGCTGATCAGAGTGCTCTCAAAAGTAACCTCTTGAAAGAAAGCACAGAGAGTTTGGTGTTTAAAACTGTCCAACTATCCGTTAGAACACTACATGTCATTCAGTCACTTTTACATCAAATGTACAAGTTTCACATTGAAAGTTAGTTATGATTAGGCATTTCCCATTACACAAATCTTGTTCTGCTGGTCATTTAGATAACTGTCAGTATTGCATATATTTTAATAATCATTTAATTTTACTAAAAACCATTGTAACACAAACACTGATGAAATATTGAAACATAGAAACTGGGACACCAAAACCCACAGATTGTTTAAAAAACAAGTAGGCAGGTGACATCTGAACTCAGAGAAAATTTAGTAACCTGATTTCAGAAAAAAATATTTAGGGCCCCAGTTCCTTACTGCAGAGCATAGAAATCTCCACAATTATAGTCGCTACCTACAGATACCAAAGAAATACACCTATTCCACATGGATTACAATGCAATACTACAGTATCAATTAATAGAATAAATTAAAATTAAATCTCATAGGAAATAATCAGCTTGTGGTTTCTTTGATGGAATACCTCTGCAATCTTGAGGTGCAGCTTCAAATATTGTGAAATCTCGCTGAAGATGTTCATTGAGCTCCAAAATGGCGGCAACATTACCACATCTGGAACAAAACATAAAATTAATAAGCATTGAGATAAAAAAAATCTTGGGGACTTAATAAATCTTGGTATTGAAACACCAACCTGTAGCAGTAGTTGGGTGCTGACCAAACAGTAAGGACTGTCTCATTAAAGTGCCATTTGTAGCCTTCCATGACCAATTGATGGGCTCGACAAATCATATCAATGTCATTGGCAGCATTGAACTGAATCACTACATCGGAGCCGAACAAGTAGCCGGCTCCGCGAGGGCTTACTCCCCAACCCTGAGTGTCTGCTCCAATCAAAAACCAAACTCAGTTAGACGGCATTGCAAATTACATCACATATAAGGAAAACTAAAGAATGCATAGACATATCTAAGTCAATGAATGAATGAGAGAATACAACAACAAACTTCTATGGTCAATAATAAAATGTAAATGCAGCTTACCTTCTGGGTCAGACCATAATAAATCACACATGGGCCCATCATGGGGAACCTCTTGTTTCCTGTCAATGGTCCTAATTTGATCTAAGGTCTGAATTGAGGGTGACAAGCCTCCATGAACACAGAAAATCTGAAATATATACATTAGAGATATTAGAGGTCAGCTTTTAAATGTGGCGTCAATGTAGAATGATTAAGATAAAGATTGATTAAGATTCTTACCTTTCCATCAATGACAGCAGACAAACTTAAGTAATCAAATATTTCTGTGCAGTACCTCCAAACCGTAACACTCCCATATTTTCGCAAGCACTCATCATAGAAGCCATAAACTTGGGTGATTTGTCTTGATTCATGATTTCCTCTAATTAAGGTTATACGGTCTGGATATCTTACCTAATGATTTTGTTTTAGAGAAACAAACATTAATAAAAATAAAACAAAAACACGAAGTGGCAAAGATCACAAATAGAAATATAAAAGAACTTACTTTTAGAGCAAGGAGTAGAAGGAATGTTTCAACACTGTAAAATCCTCTGTCCACAAAATCACCCATAAATAGATAATTTGTTTCTGGAACATCGCCGCCCACTTTAAAGAGTTCTTTCAGATCATAGAACTGACCATGGATGTCACCACAAACCTGTCAAGATTCAAGGTCAAAATAAGTGCCATCATGACAATCATTAAGGTACAGCTAAAGATAAAGTTGAATGAGGCAATTCATTACTTACAGTGACGGGTGAATCAACTCTTTGGACATTACTTTCTTCAACTAAAATTTCTCTGGCCTTCGCACACAGTGCTTTAACTTCTGATTCCTTGATAATTTCGCATTTCTTCAGTTGCTCTATTTGCCTATCCAGATCACTGGAGTCACTGGTCATGGTTAAAAATGTTGGAACTGTAACAATGTGAGAAACACAAATGAGCACTCAAAACACTACACTGATATCATGCCACAGAGATCCTTCACAAATAAAAGTTAAACATATGAAAAGGTAAAAAAAAGGAAAAAGAAAATTCCAATTGAAAATAAAATAAAGAATCAAAATAATTGTGGATGAAACTTAAGTGACATGAATATGTACACAACACAACGGACAACACTTTGGCAGGTTAAGACAAGTTAAATAACGTTTTTCAACAGTCCTCTTAGACACATATACCAATACAGCGAAGACTTATGTTCCACAACAGATACAACTACAACCACCATTACATGGCATTGAAACAGTACAATTGGAAACAACACTTGTTTACACGGAGCCTGAAATAGTGAAAATGCTCCAGTTTCCAACCAAGCTCAGCTCAAGCAGCTCGTATCGGCACCACCTTCTAGACCCGTCAAACCACAATCATGTCCACTCTCCCAACATCACAAGGTCGCACTAAACTTAAAACTGTATGTTGTGAACACTTGGGTACCTTAAATTGGAGGCTTACCAGCAAATATTCACAGAAAATCGGGCGTTCACACTTGCCCTAAACAACAGCTTTGTCCGTCATATAAGCTACCCACAATGCTCCGCGCGCACAAGGCCGGCTCGCCGAGCCAAGGCTGAGGTCATACCCGGAAGTCGGACTGCGTCAACCTTACAGTTTGGCTTTTTTAAAAATCGTCAATAACCCTTCAACAAGTCAAAATTCACGGGAACGGGACACCATCAAATTTAAACCTGTCTCAACCGATTTGAAAGCGGAAAATTCGCTTCAGTGCGTTTGAATTTCGTTTGGTAATTTCGCTACTGAGCAATTTTTCATAAGGCGGAGTTGACCCGCCGACGCCCACTGCATGACGGGAAAGGTTTACTCACAGCGGCGGCTGCTAGCTGTGTCGCCAATAGTGTAGCAGCGCACGTTGGTTCATAGTGTTGTTTTATTGACAATTCCTGAAGTCGAACGGTTTTGTGCTTGTCAGCGGCGCCCGGAATTGTTGATATTAGTGTCGTGTTTTGTGTGAAACTTTTGGATTACCGTCACCATGGGGAATATCTACACAGTCGGCCCAAACCAAGCGCTGATCGTCTCAGGTAGGTGTAACCACTATCTTCGTTTGTTTATGTTCGCTCCGTGACATGTTCGTGCGTCAGAATAAACATACCGGTGCTATTTAGGGAACGAATTCCAATCCTTTAGTGGTTTTCACCGCGATTGTCGTATGAATTTAATCGATATCTGTTTCCCGCCAACTCGCTGGCACATGACAATAATATCCTTTGAGTAAGTTCAGTTTTACATCATCTCTCCCTCGATAATCTCTAATTATTTTTCTTTGGATTGGTTTGTTTAAATAATTTTTTTACATGAGTATGATTGATAATATAAACATTTGTTTTATTAAATGCAGTACTATTCACACATTTTAATTCAGAAGTGCAAGAACAAATACTTGAAATGAACTTGCATGTGTAACTTGTTTCGTCCCAGACATTTTACCCAAGTGGCTCCTGCATAGCAGGAACTTTCGTATGCATCCCCATAGTCATGTCAAGGTAGGCACACGAATTTGCTGCCCAATGTCAAATGCAGTAAATTGCATTGCTCATGATACGTTTCTCCAAAAATCGGATCATGTTGTCGGATGTGGATTCAACAGTCCAGCCCTTGAAACTTTCAACCGCTTAAATATTTGACCACTCTGTGGTGGGAAACTGGTTCAACACTCCGCCTCTCCCCTTGAACCGCGTTTCGCCCTAATTGCCCCGCCGGAGTGCATGCCAGAAGGGGTGAGAGGGAGAGGGGAGGGGGAGAGGGGTGACTGGAGGGTGGTCGCTGGTCGGCCGGCTCACCACCCAGCTTCCCTCCAATCCCTCCCTAGCAGTGGAGGCGCGGCGGGGGTGGCGTTGGCGGACGCGGGGGCGCGGGGAGGAGAGGAAGCTGGAGAGGACTGGCGGGGCGAGAGAGGCGCCGGCCTGGCGGCCAGGCTAGGCCTGGCCGGCGGCCCTGGCCCGGCCCCATGCTGCCCTGCTGGCGCGCCAGTCACCACCCCTCGCCCCGTTTCCTCGTTTGCACTGCGGTGCCCGACGACGCACGACGCGCGTGTCACGACGTGACGCCGGCCTGCCGCGCGAATCCGAACGGCGGAGCTGTCTCTCTCGCACTCACGGCGCGTCCCGCGGGGGTGCGAGACAACGGAGGCATGCCTCATGACTCATGGAGAGGGGCGGTTCCTGCGGTTTTGCTCGCATTTGTCGCCACTCATTAATGAATTGCCTCCCTGGTCCCCGGATGGGCATGGGCCGGGGACCCTGAAGGGGGACCGTGGGAGCGCGGCGGCCTGTCACTGCCCTTGTCGCTGCCAGTCACGCTGTGTGGGCCGAGCCACGCTGTTGACGGACCGCGGGGAAGCGCACCAGTCCGAGACCCTTCCGCCAGGACCGCCAGGACACTGCAAACCCGGCGGGCGGGTGTGTTGGGTGTGGCCCCCGATGGCTGTCCGAAATTTCCTGGCCGCACCAGATCTCTCTCCCATCCCTACGGAACGCCAAGGCCGCACGAGTGCGAGAGAGATAGCGACAGTGCGTTAGCCACGAGGCTGGCTGGTACCGCCTGTACCATGCCACTGGTTCGGTTCGGTCAAGTGGCCCCTCCCTGCCTGGGCCCCGCGCCGCCATTACCCTTGTCAAGGTCGTCTCGGCTCGGGCAGGCGCGGCGAGTTGGTTTTGACCACTCTTGCCTCCGTTCGACCGCGCCGCCAGCGGCCGCCTGCCCTGCTGGGCGAGGGCTGCCGTGCTCCCGTCGGTCTGCGACTTGTGACGTCACGCGGTGTCCTGGGGCGATGACGTCACGCGGCTATGAGTGTGCCGGCCGATAAGGATGACGAGGAGACGACGGCGTGGCTCTGACGGCGGCGGCGTTTCCCCCTTCCGGCGTCATCGGCGTCGTCGCTCTGTCTCGCTCGCACTCGTGCGTCCTTCCAGAGAGAGACAGCGACGATGCGAACGAAGTGCTGTGTGGAGTCAGCCTGCTGGCGACGCGAAGCGCGAAGCAGTGGCTATCTCTGACTTATGGGCACGCACGTTCATTGTGCCTCTCTGCTTATCCTCGAAAGGCCGGGCAGGGTGGGGTGTGGTGTGGCGGGCGGGGCGGCGCCCGATGCCCGATCTCCGACGCGGACTGAAACCCTAGAGCAGTGCGAGACGGGGAGGGGGAGAGGGCCCCTGTCCGCCGCGACCTCCCTCTATGTCGGGGCGAGGATTCCTGCCAGGATGGACAGCAACTAGTCCAGCCCTGCCAAGGGCTGCCACCCACTGGCCGGCAAGCGGCGCTCCACTCTGCGAAAAGTTGAATTTGCTTTGCTGCCGAGAGTGCTGTCTGTCGGCCTTCGTGTCTGCGACGGCGGCGGCGTCCTCGGCGGCTCCTTCGTGTCCTCCGGCATGTCGGTGCCGACGTGACTCCTGGCCCTGGTCATTTATTCATCCCCTGGCCTCCCTCGGTGCCCTGGCTGCGCCCTGCCCGGCCGCGCCCCACCACGCCCTAGGGTCGGCGGCGTCGCGTGGCCCAAAGTGGACCTCGGTTGCGTGCCCCGCACACCACCGCTAATGCTTCGGCACACACGCCGCCACACCGCTACCGCCTTGCACTGCGTGCCCGCCTTGAATTGGGGCGCCGCGCCCCGCCTCTGTCTCTCTCGCACCCGCACGGACCGCGCGGGACGCCCCACGAGTGCGAGAGAGACAGACCGACGGAATCAGTCTGCTGTGTTGGCGGGCCTCCTTGCCGCCGTCCGCGGCGCTTAGCGTCCTACAGTGCCGGGTAGGCCCTTCAGTAACGAAATTAGCCCAATTGCGTTCAATTAAGGGCCGCTTCTGTGGGCCGTAAAAACGATGGGAGAAACTGGACGGACTCCCACGCGTGCTCGGGAGGAAGACAGCCGCGCCCTCGACAAGTAAATAGAAAACATCTGTCGCACAGTGTGGTGTATTGACCGGCCTTAACTTTCCGTTTCGTTGTTTTTTGGCGCAGTATGTGGGGCAGTAGGGCGGGCAGGGCGGGCAGCACAAGGGTCGCTATAAAGCAGCCGTAAAGGACGAAGCACGCCCTGCAGGGCATGTCCTGCGTCCCCGGCGTGCGAGTACGTCCCTCGAGGGGCGGTGTGGTGGTGGCACGCCCCTGACGAGTGGCCCGCCCCGCCGACCGCCGTGCGCGTTGGGCTGCCTACCTGTCGGGCGCTCGGCCTCCAGCGACGCGCGGGGCGGGGCGGGGCGGGGCGGGGCGGGGCGCCAGGACGTCACTCCGCCTGAGCACCGCGACGCCCGCGGCATTGATTGGAGATCGACCGTCCCATTGGCCAGCCGTACTTCGCACGTCCAAAGCTGTCAAGTTATTTTCGTGTTTTTTTTTTTCGAATTTTTGGCGTGGTGGTTTGCGGTGCTCTCTGTGTTTTGTCGAGGGATGGCGTGACTGCAGCGGCGTGGCGTGGTTGTCGTTTTTATTTCGGCTCTGTACCCTGTCGAGGGCGGAAGGCGGACCCACCTTCCGACGAATAAATAGGCGGGTCGCGAAGATCCAATAAATAAGGTCCGATAATAATTTAAACTTAATCCTAAGTTCCTGTCAGTCTTGGCGTTAGGGGGAGGCTGTGGCGGTCCCGTGAGATCTGCGTGGCTGCCTGCTGGTCCCGGTGGCAGGCGCCGCGTTGGGGTGGTGCCGCTTGGAGGGGCTCGTCGCCGAGCTAGACGGTCCACCTGGCGCCGCTGACGGGCAGGGGCTCGCCGGGGAGGCGCCAGCGGTAGTACGGCCCACTGTAAGGCGAGGACAGCGGCGGCGGGGGCGGCGGCGTCATGGACGGCCAGGCCTGCTTGATGAGGGTCGCCGCCTTGTCGCCGATCATGTAGGCCACGGCGTTGGTGTGCGCGCGCGGCAGGATGGGGATGATGGAGGCGTCGGCCACGCGCAGGCGGTTGACGCCGTACACGCGCAGCTCGGGGTCCACGACGGCGTCCGGGTCGCTGGCGGGGCCCATCTTGCACGTGCCGGACTGGTGGTGCAGCGTGGTGGTGATGGTGCGGATGAGGCACTCGAAGTACTCGTCCGAGCCGAAGATGAGGTTCTCGCAGCCCTTGACGGGCCGCGTGTTGAGCGTCGCGTTGAACTTCTGGAAGGGCGGCGTCTTGACCAGCTCCACGGCCGCCTTGAGGCCCTCCACGCACACCTGCACGCCAAACGAAACAAGTCAACTCTCATGCACTCAAATTTTGTCGATTTCTTGAGACTGAAAGGGCGACTATGTACTCACGTTGAGGTCGGTGACGTCCGCGAAGTAGTTGCCGTGCATGAGGGGCCAGTGGAAGGGGTTGTTGTCGCGCAGCAGGATGCGGCCCCGCGACCGCGGGTTCAGGATCATGGGCCAGATGGTGAAGGCGTCGCACTCGTCGCCGCGGTCGAACAGGCTGTAGTACGTCTCGTCCGAGATGCCCATGCCCCTCCTGCCAAGGAGCCGGTTTGTCGTTAGCCAAGGACGGAAAAGAAGCAAAAAGCAAGCGGCCGCACCGCCGGCCGAAACGAGCAAAAATAAAGGCTGATTGCGTCCCGGCGATGCGAAATGATTTTGCATTTTAATGCCGCAGACATTTATCTCAAGCGCGCGCGCCTCGCGATGGGGAGGTATGCGCATCCTGCGTGTGAGTTGCGTTAGTCAGTCGAGAAAATGATTGCAAGATCGCCGACCTGATGGTGCTGCCCGCGTCGGCGCACAGGGCGCCCGCC